GGGCGGTGCAGCGTACACGGCACATGGTGGACTGCCCACGCCTGCTGGCAAACCCTCGTTTTCCTTCCGGAATCGATTTCATGGTGTTTGTGTGACTAACAAGGTCGAGTGACAGCACGGAATCTCGATGTTTGATGACGACGTGCTCAGCGGAAGGTCGCCCAGATAGGTGTTACCTGATGTCTGGGGATATGCCTACACCAACTGACGAAGAGCGGTCCCCCAGATAGGTGTTATCTGATGCCTGGGGATATGCCTACACCAACTGACGAAGGGCGGTCCTCCAGATAGGTGCTACCTGATGTCTGGGGGTATGCTTACACCATCTGACGAAGAGCGGTTTCGTGAAACAGACGCCTGATACGATCGGCTTCAGTTCTCACAGGCAGCAGCCTGAAGGAGGTATGCCCTTATTATCCCCCCCCCCCCGCCCCGTATTTAACACGCTGCCGTTCTGCCATCGCAACGGGCTCGCCACTTCGAGCGGAGCACGTCATTAAAGCCAAGGGAGAGACGCCCGCTATGGCTGCAAAATCCGCGGAAGCATCTGCATTCATGACTGTGCGAGAAATCTGCCCAACTGGACCAGGAAAGCTGGGGTGAGCAGTCGGTAATAGCGGGAAGACGTTGGTGTAAATCACTTGCAGGGTTGACCCGGACAACTCGGAGACGTGATTATCCCGCCGCTGGTAGCTGACTCATGCCGAAGACGTGTCAGGCTCAACTGAGAAGCCCGACTGGGGTCATGGCGAAACTGGGACTGACTCAGACATAAGTGTAAACGAGATTGGCAGAGACAGCAAAAACCGCCGTGAGTTGTAGCGTTCTTTTGTTACAGACGGACGCGTTGAGCTCATGTGGAATTAGTTTCCGCACACGGCGCCCGGCAGGAGTAGCCCAGACAGTAGTCGGTGACGGGGCAGGACAAGATCAGACAGTAATCGGTAACGGGCCAGGCTCAGACAGTAGCGACATATCAGACAGATTCAGACGGCGCCGTAAATAAGACATGTAGTCAGGTCCGCCTGTCGCCTCCGCCTGGGCTTAGCAGTCCCTGTCTGTCCCTCCGCAGTCCCTGTCTGTCCCTCTGTCCCTCCGCAGTCCCTCCGCCTGTCCCTGATCTTAGCAGTCGTCTGAGCCAATCTGCAATGTCAGTTATGTCTGAGTCAGTTCCTTCTGTCGACAATGTCTTACTCAGTTCCTCAAGTCGGTTTGTCTCTGCCAGTTCCTTCCGTCACCTCTCTCGGTGTAGGCCCCTCCGGTACCTAAAGTGTAAATCTGATCATATATTGTCACCACGTGTCTCCTCCGTCCATTGCTTGATTGCGTCTTGCCGTACCATATGTGCTCATCCAGCCCAGAACACCCTTTCGTTGCCATCACGTGTCTCAGACGGTGGCAAGGGAAGTGAAGGCGGGCTGGGTGGGCTCAAACATAACACACTTACAGTAGCAGCATACGGGAAAAACGCAAAGCATAGATGTACTGACATCTTAAAGACGCATGAACTGATAGGCACACATTCATAGACTCACATATTCAGTTCGTGGACTCAGAGGAGGCCGACAGAGAGGTTGGCGTATGAAGGAAGTACTGAGACACCCGGTAGCAGAGTCTGACTCAGACCATCTGACACGACTTCTGAGCCATGGCGATTTACTCATATACCACGGACGGGGCTGACTCGCACAGACACGACCCACAAAGCTGGCTTGGGCCGCCGCGAGCGCGACAGACGGCACGTATTCAGAGTACGCCGAGCGTCGGCACCGGCTCATCCATTAGAGGCCAGCGCTGAAGCGGCGGCGACACCGGACCTGCGGAGGAGCAGGGGCCCGCCTCCCCTGCCGCCGCCGCGGCGCTGCAGACAAAGGCGGCGCCGCCCGGCGGCCCGGCGCCCGGTCAACGATCGCGGCGCCCGCGGCGGGCGGCGCGCCGGCGCCGGCGCCCGCCGCGGCCTTGGAGCGGGCGCAAGGCTGCGCCGGCGCCGCGCCAGGAGGTCGCCTGACTCATGGCCCCAGAGGTGACCGCCGTCTCGCGCCGGTTTTTACGCGCTGCCGGGAGGCGGCAGCCGGTGCCGCGGGCCCCTTCGCGTCGACGCTGCAGCCGACATCGCGCCGACGCGCGCGGCAGATACAATCGTGACGCTGACAGGCGCGAGGACCGTCGCCGCGCGCAGGCCGCGGCGAGGAGGCTGGCGGGAGCGGACAGCAGGCAATCTGGCCGGCCTCTGAAGGAATACACTGCCTATGCTGCCCAAAGCCACCGCCGGCGGGCGAGATGAATGGAAATGTCAGAATCGGGGAGGGATACTGATACGCTGGCCAGCATGCGGCACCAGAAGAGGATCACCGTCACAGGTCAAATGTTTTTGCCGAAAAAGCCAAAGCATCGATGCTTTTCTGGTGTTTATTTATGTTATGATTTCTGGTGTTTATTTAAGGTTTTGAGGCGCTTCTCCTCATCTTCCGTTGTGAGGGATCCCATGCATTAGTAGCCGCAGTGATATTTGCATCATATGTGCAGCACTGATTGCATAGGAATTTCTCAGCCGCGGTCAATATTGCTCTGTCTCTGAATTCATATGTAGATGCTTGTTACATTGTTCTGCAATTCAAGCAAATTGTGGTATTTTTCCTTGATTTCTTCCACAAAGTAAAAAACCTTCGGTCGTAAACGGTGGTGTACCCTCCTCTTGCTTTTCTTCACACATCTTCCCTATACGCCTTCGTTCCCTAACGTGCAACGATCGAGAAATAGATACGGCGGGTTTGGCGCAACGCTGAGCCAAAGCAGAGTGAGGATCAGCACAGAGAAGGATACGTATCTCCATCCTCAGCGGACTGCGCTGTGCTGATGTCCCCTTCATACCATGTCGATGTGACGACCATTGCGGCATAGATTGCATACAGACGTGAAATAAATATATATAGATTTAAAGTTTATCCAAAACCAGAGCAACGGGCTGGCTCTAAAAGCAAATGATGCGGACACTATGAACCATTGAATCGCATCCAAACGTCTTACAAGTTCACTTACCTACACGGCAATTTTGCACAGCAATCGCAACGGCGTGAACCATTTTGGCGAGACGACCACATCTCACCCAGACTGACTGATAGCGAGTGTAATATGCTTGCGTAGTATAATTCCAAGTAACACGCTTCACGAACATCACAAAGTCTTAAGACGTGACGTGGCCAGCGGCGCACGCAGGATTTCACGGGGGTGGCACAACTCAAAATGTTTTCAAGTACAAACTCACATCACGTATTCTCGATCTCACCATTTTCACGTGCATGCTAGCAGCTTTCAACCGTCAACATGTAGCCACGTGCATATTAATACATATTACATAAGTTTAATAAGAGGGGGAGGGCGCGTGCTCCCGGGACTGTTATGTGCGTGCGCCCGTGGCCTTGATATACAGCCATACTGTGTGCTGAACTCGGAGCGTGACAGGAGGAGCTGATGATGGTCTCAGCCGTAACTCGGAGAGCGACAGGAGGAGCTGATGGTGGTCTCAGCCGTAGCGATACAGCAGTGACACCGGCACCCAGCAAGTAAAGATCATCGGGTACCGCACTACACCCGTTTGGAAGCTTAGATGGGTTGAAGTTTTGCGGTCCCCGAAGAATAATTGAGCGAAAACGCAGAGTAAAGATTCTGATGCCGGTTCGACGATACAGCTCAGGACACCACCTATGGTTATTATCTGTCAGTTGGGTAAATTTGAACTGTTCAAACCGTAACAAAAGGGCTCCACACATTCAGGAAACATCGAAATTGTTAAAAAAAACTATCTCTTTCTGAGAGAGAGAGAGGGGGAGAGAGAGAGAGAGAGAGAGAGAGAGAGAGAGAGAGAGAGAGAGAGAGAGAGAGAGAGAGAGAGAGAGAGAGAGAGAGAGAGAGAGAGAGAGAGAGAGAGAGAGAGAGAGAGAGAGAGAGAGAGAGAGAGAGAGAGAGAGAGAGAGAGAGAGAGAGAGAGAGAGAGAGAGAGAGAGAGAGAGGAGAGAGAGAGAGAGAGAGAGAGAGAGAGAGAGAGAGAGAGAGAGAGAGAGAGAGAGAGAGAGAGAGAGAGAGAGAGAGAGAGAGAGAGAGAGAGAGAGAGAGAGAGAGAGAGAGAGAGAGAGGAGAGAGAGAGAGAGGAGAGAGAGAGAGAGAGAGAGAGAGATAGAGAGAGAGAGAGAGAGAGAGAGAGAGAGAGAGAGAGGGAGTGGAAGGGAGTGAGAGGGAGAGAATAAGAGAACGACACAATATATATATATATATATATATATATTCTGTATATATATATATATATATATATATATATATATATATATATATATATATATATATATATATATATATACTAGAATGCCTAGAAGTAATAACAAGTCATTAACAGACAACACCCAGTCATATGCACAGCACAGAGGTGTAAAATCGTACTCCCTTAGACGGGCTTGACCACCTCTCCAATTTGCACCTCTGCCCTTCCAACTTAACAGAGACAACTCTCAGATTTAGACGTCATACCTGTCGAAAATCCAAGCAATCCAAAATCGCGTCGAGTGAATCGTTAAATAGTATTACAACCTTTTCCAAGTGGCATAATTATGTGACATGAGTTGAAGGACAAAATCAAAATTTGGGGAGAGTTCAGGTTGGTCCACTCATCGAAAAAACGCCTGTCAGCCGGTGTAGCGAAAGCATACAACTGCAGAAAAACGCACAGTTGCAGTTGCGCAGCAGTGCATTTGGTTTTCAGTCAGGTTCAGCAAGCAGGTGCCATCCACATTGTTCGGCGCACGGTGTCAACACGCCGGGAGTATTGCGTGTGAAATCATCAATAAGCGCTCCACTAGAATGAACAATAGAGATCCGTTTCCCAGCCCAGAATCGCGAGTGCAAATGAAACGCATGCATATGCGGATCTCTGTATGCCGGGGGCGGCCACCTAGCGGCGGGCGGCCGAAGCCTGGGGCGGCCCAGGCGGGCCTATAAACCAGGTCCTGCACCTGGGCGCAGTTGGTGTCGGTCGGCGGGCAGCAGCAGTCGGCAGGCGACATTTCCTCCACCACCGGTGAGTTGCTGAGCCGACACTTGTCCGGCGCTCCCTCCGCTGCCGGCTGCCCAAGCAGTCCGAGGCCCCTCTCCACCACCGCCGGCTGAGTTCTTTCCCCGCTACCTGTCGGACATCTCCTCCACTGTCGCTGAGTTCCCAGTCGCCGTACATCGGCCAACCCTGCTACCAGTGAGTTGTTCTGTCAGCCGGCACCTAGCTGTCGAGCCGACATCTGTGATCCGCCCCCCACTGCCCGTCAGCTGTCCCACTGACATCCGTCAATAGATATCTGTCAGTCATCCTCCTCGCCAGTGAGCTGTCCAGCCGACATCGGTCGGACCGGCAGACCGGGCCGCGGCAGTTCTCAGAGGCGTTTCAACAGAAACACGTGACATGTCGACTGGAGACTGACAGAGGCACGATGCGCTGCGCTATGCCACAGAGGGTGGAGAAGCCCTCGGAAGTGGCGGTACACAGTCGTTAAGCATAAAATGTCGCTGATAGGCTGCAGCTGAACGTGAATGCACCACCAACTTGGCGCCCCTGAAGTGAGCGGCCTTGACCGTCGCGTGATTGGTTAAACTCTTGTCTGGTATCTACTTTCATTGAGCGACAATTGTCGTCCACTGGTGGGAATTGGAGCCCTCGGCTACCAATCCTGACCTCAGCTTGCAGGCCGTTTGGATCGCCGATGTGTTTATTGACCGAACAATGCGTTCCCGTAGGCGGACAGACAATTTGCACAGGGTGTGTGTTAGGCAGGCCATTTCAATCGCATATTGGGTATCATCTAAGTATCATCTAGTATATTGGGTATCAACTTGTCTTCGTGCGACCCGCTAAACTATAGGTGCGTAGTGTTCAGCTTGCACTTTTGCCGCAATGCGCAGGACTCAGCATGTTTAAATAAACAGACTGAAGCTAAAATTGATTCGCATATGCATTAGCTAACGTCGCAACCTAACTGAGCAGTCTCATTCATTTAAATGTCAGCAGTCCTGCTTCCAGACCCGAATAACAGCACAGGTGGTTGAGAATTGGTTAGATCCCTTGGTCTGACACATATCAGCCTGCAGCGGTTCCCAGCCTGCATAGCTCTGTATGCCCAACACTTTGGATTTCGGGTCCCTTCGGTCATGCCAACCGAACCCGTGGCCTCTTCGTCGCAGTGGTACAGATTCTAAACGATTATTGTCAGACGTGCTTCAATCCCGTGTTTCGCTATTCACGCCGCTTGAACCGTGAACTTTTCTCTTCACTCCACATCCTCGAGGTTTCTGGTCAAGCTTGTGTAAGCACCGACTCTGTTCTTTCACCACATCCATGTGAAGGCCAAGCGTCTCCTGCCCCCTCCGCGCGAATCGTTATCCCTTTTGTCCCCGGTGTTAGTTGTTGATTGTCTAAATTAGAGCCCTTCGGCCAGTCATGGCCATTTCAGGGCTATGGGGGCTGGACAATGGATAACATTCGGGCAGGACTACATGAACTTGGGAACCTATCCACTGAGGCTTTGCTCGCACAGGAACCTCTCTGCAGGGTGCGCACCTAACGCTGGGACAGGGCCCCCAGCAGGCACTTGTGGCTGGCCCACGCAGCCTGCCCCGGACAAGCGGGGCGTCGTGAGGATGCAGGATATAGCGAGCAAGGGGATAGAGGGGGCGGATGCGTCCCTGGTGCGGACCCAGGGTGCCCATCATGCTAATTGTGAGCCCCGGGTCTAAGTTATCTTGCTCTTGAAACCAGGCGCCACTACCACACCGCCGTTAACCTCGCGCCCCTCCCGTCTCCCCGGCTGGGTGCGGTCCGGGGTGGGGTCCCGGAGGACGCCCTGGTCCCGGTGCCGGCACGCCTCCGCGGTCGGCGGTCGGCCGACGGGCCGAGCCGGCCAGCCCCGGCCGCTCGCCGGGAGGCCGTGTCCCCGGCCGTCTGGAGACGGGGCCGGCGTGACCTTCCGGCGGCGGGGCGAGTCAGCGGCCGGCCCGGCCCCGCAGACCGCAGTCCCGCTACCCCCTCCCACGACCCCGGCCGGGCCGCCGCTGGCGCTCACACAGGCGCCGGCCGGCCCGCCCAGCTCAGAGAACAGCTACAGCGTGCTGTAATGCGGGTGTTTCGCGCTCTTATGGAGGTAAATGACCCGATCATTTCAAATACAGACCATCGGGATGTGTTGCCAAAAGATGAGCCGTTTATGTTTGAACGTGTATTGTCATTTACAGGTTTTGAGTTTGTCTGCATTTAAGAAGCACTCTTCAGACGTGCTAAACTTTTACGTGTTATTCTGTCAAGGGAAGTACCAAAAGCATTGTCGGCTTATAATGGCATAAAGGTGCTCTTATTACTTCATGAAAGCAGCAATGATTTTAGTCGGATCCATTGGCACACTTTGTTTCCGTCAAAGATCAAACTTATCAAGTATTTCAAAGCAATGGGATGTTTGAGAGCTGCTGTCGTGATCGAATGAAGCAATCCAAACTAGTCTACTCCTCATCACAATTAAAAATGAAACCGTGGCATGCATTGGGAGCATTTTGTGCATTCAGTTTCATGAAAGCAGCTGTCTGAAAGCAGACCGGGACCGTGACCAAAATATTGCGAATTTGTGCTCAACCTGATTTACGCTTTTACCAAAAAAAGCTACATTACACTAGTCTTAGCTCGTTGTATACACTGTCATGCGCTTCGTGAAACGAGAGCTGCACACCCCAGGAAAGCCGGTAACACTGCAAATCGTTGATTTCTGGCGGGGCAGCAGCGTGCCCGGTTTGAGTCCCAGCTGACGGGCAGCACGCTCCGGCAGACATGGCACCCTCAGCCTGACGACCGCGGCCTGGTCCTGTTTAGTGGCCACATCGGCGTCCACTGGCGGTCCGGCGTCGGGCGACGTCACTCGATTGGCCGTCGATTGGCTCCACGTTCATTTTGAGCTTTCGGCTTCACCCAGCTTTCGGAGATCAGCTGGTCTCTGGTGAAGCTTAGCTGAGACATACAAAGCTATTCCGTGGTGACAGGGAGCACCCTTTTGTGGAGTCCGGACTACTCCACGCTGGACTGTACGGGGCTTTTAGTTGATTACACGACCGGGCATCATAATTAACGGCAGCCTGCGTGACGTAAAGGCGCCCAAATGCTGATGCATGTTCCCTTTCCCCAAAACGAAGCAGCAAAATACTCACAACTGATTAGCTCCACCAGGCAGATCACAGAACGCATTATGTCGGCATCACAAAATATACGGGCACGTTTTCGCTATGCGCCATCGTGTTTCGCTAGTACTCGCGCTGTCCAGGTGAGCGGACTTACGCAGAAGTCCAGACGGCATCACGACCAGGTCTGTATCGCGGGTCAGACCGACTTTTATATATAGACGGGCTATTCGTCGCTACCAGCCGGGGTCGGACCGAGAGGCCGGCTGCTGCGCCGCTCCCCGCCGGCCGGGTCGGACCGAGAGGCCGGCTGCTGCGCCGCTCCCCGCCCACCGCGGTCCGGAGTCAACCAGGTCCGTCGATCGGCTCTTGGCTGCGGAGCCGCCCGCCGCTGTGCCAGCAGACGGCCCCGCTGTCCGGGAGGGTCGGCGGCCCTTGACGGGCCGCCGGCCTGCCTCCGGGCCGGCAGACCACGTGCCGAGATTGGGGCGACCTTGTGCCGGTCAGTCGCCACCCCGCATGGGCTGCAGCCTGGCCTATGCATGAGGTGTGCAGACGGCGGCACGGCCTGGTACCAGGTACGCGCCCCGTTCCGCCGCCTCTGTTACGAAAACAGCGCCAGCCGCAAGTGTAGCCTTGCATATTGGGGGAAGGCTCCTTTCGCAATGTCTGGGGAACATTGGCAGACCCGGTGCCGATGATAATTACGTACTCAAATGGACATCCGAATGAAAGATGATGTGACTTTTGGTGCTGCTCGCTCATTCACAGATGCATTTTCTCGGCACACACAGGCGGAAATAGCATATTGACCTCCGAATTCCTGAGCTATAGAAGTTAAATGCTGCCGCATTTCCCAGCCACTTGTCATTGTCCAGCCGGTTGTCGCCATGGTCAGCGTCATTCTCACATAGTTATCTCTCTCGGCTGTTATATGTATCGGCCGTTCAGTGCTTCCTGTGACGCAGACGGTGGCCACTGAATGTTGGTTCCAGTGAAGACAGAGTTGTGAAGAAGACCATCGATGGTACATGCCTGTAAGCTTGCCAAATTACATTGCTGTGGCCCTTTTAGTTTATTTTAATCGTCGGCAAGCATCTTAGCGGCTTCGATGAAACATTTCATTCCAAAAAGATGCAGTCGCTATGCACAACTTAAGGCCGCTGGGGTGCATTTCATGCTCCCTCAATCGTTTGTCATCAGCTTACATTTCGGATGAACAGGCGTCCCCAAAAGGCGTCCCCAAAAGCACGTGCCGACGCCTGTCTGTCCCCCAGCCGTTAGATCACCCGATCGGCGCACCTGCAGCGTGAAGCCAGCAAGACCACGTGGCACGCCGCGCCGCGCCGCGCCACACCGGTCTGTTCGGCCGTATGCAAACGCCTCGCGCCGTGCATGACGTACGCGATACCTATCGCTGTCCCGGTGAGAGGATGCCCTTGTAGAGGGGTCTGTCGCCGGGTCGGGCCGGCCCGCTGCAGGCCTGGCTGGGGGCGAGCCCGCCACAGCACGACGGCCTCGCTCAGCGAAACAGGAGCTACGTCCGGCGGCGCCGGCGGCCGACCGCCGCTCCTGCCGGCAGCCCCCCTCCCCTCCCGGCCGGAGGGGGTGCACACGACCGGTAACCGGCGCGTGTGTGGCAATCAGAGAAAACGGCGACCGGCCTCACGCCTGATCGGTCCCGGCGCCGAAGCGGACGTCCCGCGCCGCGCGCCGGCTTGCCGGCGGCCGGCCTCGGTTCCGGCGCGTTATCATCACAAAGCGGGAGCGGCCCACCCACCTCTAAATCGGCCGCGCCGTGCTGGCCGGGCCGCCGGGTCGTCCGCAGGTCGGCCGGCACGCGTCCGCCCCACTGGACCGACCCACATTCGGGCGGGCTGGGAGCGGCTGGCGGCGGCCGACGCTGCTGCCTCGGCGGGCTTCTCTCGCCGTGGGCATTGTCCACCGCGCCCGCCGACCGACATTGTTGCAGTGCGCTCCCGATAGCGCCATTGTGCGGCCGCTGTCTTAGCGGTGGGCCAGACACCCTAATAATGGAGCCGTTTACAAACACGGTTTCCCCACTGCGACGCGGCCGGACGGGCTGGAAGATATTCCGGTCGGGCTGCTAGGGACGTCTGCAGGCAGGTCAGGTCGGCCGAGGTCGAGCGCACCAATTCAAACTCTGCGTCCGGCGGGACGAGACAGGCACCAAAATCGGCCTGCCCTGCGCTGAGGCCTCCGCATCCGCAGCGAGGCGCAGCCGCCGCGGTCTGATCTCACAGAGTTGGTGACGGCGGCCAGTGACCTGACCCAGCTCGGGTCCCGGGCGCCGCTCCTCGGCGGTGGGGCGGCCTCAGGAGCGCCCGCCGCCGATGTGCGGCCGGCGCCCTCCGCATGCCGTCACGCGGCGGCGCGGGTGCATCCACCGGCGGGACGACCGGTCAGATGCCGCGCGGCCCGGCCGGGGCGGCGCCGAGCCGGCGTCTGCCTCAGCCGGAGGCCGCTGGCCAGCCGCGGCCGAGGAGCAGGTCCAGACCGCAGCGTCGGTCGGCCTGCCGAGGCCGTCCAGCCGTCCTCGCCCGGTCCGCCGCCGGTCGGGCAGGCTCCTGAGCCGCCGCGAAGACCCTCCCTCCCGCCTGGGCGAGACGGTGACCAGCCATAAATAACTGCGTCCGTTGTGTCCGGCCGTCCCTCCCTGTCTGGCGGCCTCTCTCCCTCTCTCCGTTCCGTCTCCGTGCTCGCCTCAGACAGCGGCCCCATGACTGGCGCCACCGGAGCAGCGGCCGCCACCATTCGACCGGTCGATGTAATTACGGAACCCTTCGGGAGCTAGGGTTCCTTGAACTTTTCTCAAGGCCCTGATGTGGGCCTCCGGAACATACCTGAGCGGTCGGCGTCCGTGCAAAGTTGCTCATGTCCAAGCTAATGCGCAGGGTTTGTTGTAGATTGCTGAGACTGTGCAGTCCTGCTTCCATCGAACATTGCCTCCGGCTATGCCACTTAAACCTAAAGCGATGGAAATTTCCCGCACCGGCGGTGTGCGTGAGCTCAATGCTAGAGCAGTGCACAACTTAATGACGCCAATTGACCCTGCAGCATTTCCGCATTTCCAGGGGCTACCAGGACCATAAAATCTCAGGGATTAATCGACGTGCTCTAGCACCATCTAGCGCAGGGCAGACAGACACACATTCACGCTGTTTCCCCGAACTTACTGCTTCACTCTGAATCCTCGCGGCATCCCGTCTCATTGGGGCGTGCTGCGGCCGTCAGCCATGAGACGGCCCAACGGCAGCCCTGTCGGGAGCACCGCCAGAGCGCCCGCCAACACCCCGGAACACAGGCCCGCCCGAGCGTTCGCCCCTACCTCGGAGCACAGACCCGCCCTACCTTGGAGCACATACCTGCCCGAGCGTCCGTCCCTACCTCGGAGCACAGACCCGCCCGAGCGCCCGCCCGTACCTTGGAGCACAGACCCGCCCGAGCGCCCGCCCGTACCTTGGAGCACAGACCTGCCCGATCACCCTTCCGTACCTCGGAGCACAGACCTGCCCGAGCGCTCGCCTGTACCTCGGAGCACAGACCCTGTGCGGGGTGAGGCTCGGGGACGAAGGCCTCTCTCTCATATGGGCGCACCAATGCGCTCGTCAGCTGCCACGTGTTTTTGAAATGGCAATCGCTGGCTGAAACAGCTCTCATCAAGCCAAGCCACACTAAATGGAGACAAACAGAGAGCCAGCGGCTTCCGTTACAACAGTACATTGGATATCAGAGCAAAACATCAACTTTAACTTTGGAGAAGCTCGCATGAAGTGACCAAACACTCCACCACTGCCAAAGTCCTAAGAAATCCCACTAAAGACAACGCCGTGACAAGGAGCTTCGGTGCTCCTATGTGTTCGGTTATAGTCCATCCATTTCAGTGTTTTTGGAGTGAGATTTCATGCCATTAGCCGCTTTCAATACAGCGGGAGTTAATGGTTGAAGTAGGATAACAAGCAAGCATTGAAATGCATTGCGGAAACACCCAACGCTCCGAGCAGCATTCATGATAGAGAGTGATCCGGGAGAGCAAAAAACACAACAATGAGGTGAAATAAATCATCACGCCAAAATGCCACACACTTGAGCCTTCTCTACTTACATCAAGCCCCACAGAATGCGCGAAACATTTTGCCAGGGGTGAATGGCACTCATAAACCTGTTGCACCTCGACAATGCCGCAGTTGCAAAAGTGTCAGGGCTTGAGTCAGCGGGGCGGAATCAGCACGCGCCACGCATTGGTCGCTCCCCTGACCTGAGCGGCCGCCTGACCGTGGCTTCCTGTCTGTTTCAGCTGACGTCGGACAAGTCTCACCAGACAAGTCATGGCTCCCGTTAAAGTGATGCTCGTCCTGGTCCTGGCCGCCACAGCGTTCGCTCGTAAGAACATGCCAGACACTTAACGTTGCCTATCGCAGCGGCAGAACTTATTCAATGTCATGCATCGCATCTAAATGGCAGGCTACCTGCATCGTTCGTCCACTGAAACAGTATAACGTATGCTGCTACGTTTCATGCGATGTTCACATGCATTCGCTGTTGCGAGTAAGACGGCCAAGGCTTTGGCTTGTTTCCCAGTCGTTATCACGGCAGTCAGCTGCCTATCCGCACTTGGCTGGGGTGGCTCTGTTTCAGAAGGAATGACATTATATATCCGGTAACATCTTTTTTTCTGTCGAGCGAAGATAGGCACGACGTGGAGCGGGGTGGATGGGTGGAGAGGGGCAGTCCTACGTAAGCACCAACTGGATTTAAGCCACAGACATGCTTCCAGACGCTTGAAGGGTGCCTCAACGGTTAGTAGCTGCTTTCCTGGCCAATGTTTAACCTGTTATGATGTGCTTTTGCAGTGCCAATGGACCGCCAGGTCAGGGAGACTGCCGAAACTGAGGATAACTCCGAGGCCAGCAGCGGCGAAGGTGAGAAAAAGCAGTGGCAGGGGCTAAAGGAGAAGCGAAATTTCCGTGTGAATAATGCATGCAAGCTACAGCATACACATAACTGTGAATTGCATCCCCGCAACAAAAATCCTTCTCAGCATTCGCCATCCTTTCATGCCTGGAGACACTCCTGAGCACAGTCGCGAAGTCGGCGCTAATCAGCGACCGCATGGACCGACGTGTTGCTCACCCCGGTCTGCAGCCACACACCCCGTTGCGACCGCGGTTTGCAGCCACATTCCCCGCTGCGCCCGCGGTCTGCAGCCACATTCCCCGCTGCGTCCGCGGTCTGCAGCCACACACCCGCTGCGCCCCCGGTCCGTACCGACGCACCCGGCACGGCGCCGGCGCCAGCTTGCAGTGTGCGTCGTCGACGGCGTGGTGTACGAGCGGGGCGCGCCGGTGCCGACGGCCTCCGGCTGCGAGCTGTGCGTCTGCCAGCCGCCGGGCTTCGCGTGCAGCGCGATCCAGTGCGAGCAGCGCGCCAACACCACCGGCTGTCAGCGGAGCGGCTCGAGCGCCACCTGCTGCCCGCAATACCAGTGCCGTGAGTAGCAGCCGTCCGCGTCCTTCCAACGTCGAACGGATAGGTGGCGCTACTCCGCGCCCGGCAGACGTCATCGCTGCGGTCCGGTAGATGGCGCGGCTGACGTGCATGGAGACGGTGCTGCCTGTCCCGGCGCTGGGAGCGGCTCGGCTGGCGGGCTGCCGGCTGGCCTCCTGGGTCGAACCGGTCCGACCACTCCGCCTGGTGAAAGGCCATGGGATCCCTCCGCATGGGATGACAGGACGGCAAGGCTGCCGACCGGGCACTCATGGTGCAAGGTGAATGCAAATGCAAAGTGAATGCTCCACAAGGCAAGGCTTCAAACCACATCCTCTCCAGCTGCCGGCTGGGAGACGTCTGGCCGCAGTCGCATGCCACACAAAGCTCTTCGGTTCTGCATGTGCTCGAGCAAGATCTTGAGGACTGCTGAAGCCCTCGTGCGCCAGACTCCTGGCCCATCGCACACCAACGATGCTTGCGATTGGATGGAATAGCATGTGGCCTTCGGCGATCTTGAGGTGCTTAAAATGAATTATCATGGGTTTCGGCAGTGTGACAGAAGTCACAACTCTCCAGGGCTTCGGGTTGGTAGAGGCTGCAGACTGTCTGCATATCCCCGGTGCCCATCAGACATGTTCGAATGGCATCTAACTAGAGACAAATACGATGGAAGCTAGCTTAGCGTCGCGCACTTGACACGTTTGATCGGTTGATACAGGAAGATCGCACTGAGACAGTCACTTGCGCCATACGGAAGCACTACGCAGTAAAGCACTCATCTATCTCGAATTGTCGCCACTGAAAAGACAAAAGGTGTCATGACCACCGTAAAACCACTCATTTACATTTGGTAGCCTGGTCCCCGACGCCAGTTCAGATCGCCTCCACCACGCCAGCCCTCGGATCTCCGGCCGGCCACCGGTCGGTCGTTGTCCACTCCACCGCCGGGCGGCAACACCGTCGCACCGCCGGCGGCAGGAGTGGCGAGTCTGAGCCGCGGCCCGCCGCCGGCCGGCTCTGTTTCAGCGTGTCAGTTCGGCGGCGAGACGTTCGAGGACGGCAGCCGGATCGAGGACCCAGCCGAGCCGTGCATCATCCGCTACTGCATCGACGGCCTGGTGCGCACCACGACGCTGCGCTGCTTCACCCGCGACGACTGTGCGCCGCGGACCGTGGCCGGCCGCTGCTGCCCCAGCTACGACCACTGCCCGGCGCTCGGTTAGTGGACGCGGGGCCAGCTCCAGCGCCCAGCCCAGACCGGGCCGCGAGCACCGGCCGGCGTCGGCGTCACCCGGCCGGCTGCTGACCGAGCGTCCACACCGCCGGAGCTCTGCTGGCACACAGGCGCCGCAGACTCCCTTCGCCTCGCCCACACCCGGGCGTTAGTTGGGAGGCCAGCGTCGCGGCCGCCCGGTCGAAACTCCGCCAGAGCGGCACACGGTCGCGCCGCGTGACGAACCGGTCCTCCGCGAAGAACCGATCGGCCTCCATCGAGGGTTCTCGCACGCGGCCGGCGGTTCGGTGGGTTCATCACGCTCGCGGCACACACATCACCGCCGATCACAGTCCATGGCCGTCACGAGGATGTTGTGACGAGTATCCGCGCGAGCCTCTGCGGTCCTGACTCGTCGTTCCTTGTTTTGCAGGCAAGTTCCCCCAGGGGCCCGCCGAGCCCTACCCAGCGGAGAGCACCGTCAGCGCATCCGAGCAGACCGCTGCCCCCGAGGTCGACACGGTCACTGCCACGGAAGCGGGTGAGGAGACCGCCGCCGAGGAGGCGTCCGAAGAGCAGCAGAACACCGACGAAGCGAGCGCTCCCGAGGCGGAGAAGGCCACTGATGAAGACGAGCCCACAGAAGATAAGAATATCGACGAACAAAATGAGAACAAAGAAGAGAAGGAGGAAGAGGAGGAGGAGGAGGAGGAGAGTGACAAGGCCGAGAAGCCCGCCAGCGTCCCCGCCGAAGAGAGCGCCGCCGAAAATCTCATCCCGGACACGGACGAGTCGGAGAATGGTCCGACGACTGACGAGCACCTGGAGCTGGCCGAGCCCGCCGAAAGCAGCGGACTGGAGGCCGAGCCAGAGGCGGCGGAGGCCGGCCAGGAGCCCAGTCTCGGCCTGGAAGCCGACAACACCTTCGCCGCGGCGCTGCAACTGACGCCGGCCGACCTGACAGAGGGCAGCGGCCGCCCGGACGAGGACGGCGCCGACGGCTCTGGCATCGTCAACTTCGACTTCCCAGCCAGCGAGCCGCTGCTGCTGAGCACCGAAGGCTCTGGCCAGCTGGAGGCGAACGAGGCCGAGGGCTCGGCCAGCGAGGCGCTAACACTGGGAGAGCTGGCGGCGGACGAGACCGAGGGCTCGGCTAGCGAGGTGCTGGGAGAGGCGACGGACGCTTTCGAGGGTTCGGCCAGCGAGCCACTGCTGCTGGAAGAAATTGCGGCGGACGAGGACGAGGGTTCGGCCAGCGAGGTGCTGGGAGAAGCTACGGACGCTTTCGAGGGTTCGGCCAGCGAGCCGCTGACGCTGGGAGAGCTGGCGGCGGACGAGACCGAGGGCTCCGCCAGCGAAGTGCTGGGAGAGGCTACGGACGCTTTCGAAGGTTCGGCCAGCGAGTCGCTGCTGCTGGGAGAGCTTACGGCGGACGAGACCGAGGGTTCGGCCAGCGACGTGCTGGGAGAGGCTACGGACGCTTTCGAGGGTTCGGCCAGCGAGCCACTGCTGCTGGGAGAGCTCACGGCAGACGAGACTGAGGGCTCGGCCACCGAGGTGCTGGGAGAGGCTACGGATTCTTTCGAGGGCTCTGCCAGCGAGGCGCTGACGCTGGGAGAGCTTGCGGCGGACGAGACCGAGGGTTCGGCTACCGAGATATTGGAAGGAGCGACGGACGCTTTCGAGGGCTCGGCCAACGAGCCGCTGCTGCTGGGAGAGCCGGCGGCGGACGAGACCGAGGGCTCGGCCAGCGAGGTGCTGGAAGAGGCTACGGACGCCTTCGAGGGCTCGGCCAGCGAGGCACTGACGCTGGGAGAGCCGGCGGCGGACGAGGCGTCGCTGTACGAGGTGGAGGGCTCGGGAGCGGCCGCCAGTCTGCCGCTGCAGCTCAAACCCGCAGAGGAGGCGTCGACTGCCCCGCAGCCGGCGGAAAGCGACACCCTGAAATCCGAGCAGCTGCTGTCGGGACTGACATCCCGGGGCGAGGCCGAGCCGGAGGGCAGCGGCAGCTCACCCGACGTCAGCGGCTCCGGCGACAGCGCGCCGCCGTCTTTCGACGCTCTCGCTCTGTGAGCCGCCCGCCGGCCCAGCGCGAAACCGTGGCATTAGTCGGTCCGTGCGGTGATTGGTGGTCTGCTGGCGTCCGCTGATGACCCTCGCAAGCCTGATCGAAGAGCTCGTTTGCCGGTTGAGTCCGATATTTATATTGTGTCGCATAGCCGTGCTTTTAGTGACGTCATGCTCATCACTTCTGGTGAGAATTGCTCAGGTTGACCCCTGGCGCAGTGACCTAAGCTCGTCTGATGACGGCAGTTTGCCCAAGCAGCTGCGCCTGCCATCGGACATGTTGGCCCCGGCGTCAGGTGTTGTCTGAGCGAGTGACCGTCGACACAGCTTTCGAGCCGCCGGCTCTGTCGACCCGCTGTCCGGTTCAGCCTCGTCGAAAAAACCGGCGGCCATCGGCTGTTGTACCGCGAGCTGATCACGACAAATAAAGGTCTACCATGAAGCAGTGTATGATGTGGACACATCAGGGCAGACGTGGCCGTTTATCAACTGCGACCGCTTGACATCATTAGCGATTTGAGTTTAACTTGACTTTCCGATGGAATTTCTACTTGTTCTTATAAAAACAAGCAGACCCCGCCGGTTTTGCGGGCTCGCGGCCACTAACCTCCATATGACTTCCTGTTAGGCACTGTGGGCCCATGACTGACACAGGCGCTGCGACCATTGTTTCAAGAACCCAGACCAATGTAAATAGTCGCCCGCGGGCCTTGCTCCTGCTTGGGAAATTGGCCTCCAGGGTTCAGACTTGCAGGAGGGGCAACTGTTCGGTGTTTGTGGTTTCTGGCCGACTTAGACGCCTGCACTGTCTTAGAAGCCCTCACATGGTGCAAGAGGATCTCTGGCTGATATTTTAGGTCATGACCCTGCGGGCCGCGATTATTTATGTCACCTACAGCCAGTTCTTCGTGCCCTTATGTCCTCCAGCCGGGCTCTTGATCGTCGGATCCGGTGGGTCGCTCGGGTCCCTCTTTGGGTCTCATCAAACACTGCTCTAGGTCGGCTTGGGGTCCCTTGCAAACACAGGACACTCTATTCGGACCTGTGGGCCCATGACAGATACAGGGCCCCGACCAGGGTTAATCGCTGGCATCGGCTTTATACCTAATTGGGAAGTGGGCTCCCCGGCCCGTACCGAAACGGAACCGACTCTTCGGTGCTGGCGATGCCTGACCGACATACACACCCATATCGACCAAGGGGGTTCTCGATCGGCGCAAAAGGCCATCTGATTGTCATTGGCGAAGCTCCCCTTAAAAGAAGTGTTTCACATTTGAAGGTATTGAAGCAAGCATCAGATATGATGAAACAAGTTCACTTATAACTTGAGGCATGCTCATAAGCAGAAAAGACTGTTGTAGGCAACACAATTTCTCTGTTTAGTTGATGTGCTCCTCGATACGTCATTGTTTGATGACGTCATCGCACCTTGCACATCATGGATTGAGAGCCAAATGACGGTCGTTAGATCTGGAAATCGTGCGCACGTGCACTAGATATAAACGACCCGACCATTATCTTTTCCCAGCCTTGATCGCCACATGACCTATGGAATGGCAAGATTTGAATGACGTTTTTATGACGTCATAAATGCCGACGTGACGTTGAAATACTCTTCTAAAAACACTCTTCTCATTTTCGCAGGCGCGTAGCTCAGAAGCAAGAGAGCTTTATGCCTTAAGAAGGGCAAGGTTATGAAGTGCACCCAAAGGTCTTCAGGATGGCTGTTTGAGGTGAAAACCGGATATAAATGTAGAACACTTTCTTTATGGTATCTTAAAAAAACCTCTCTGGCATGTCTTGCAGTCGCATCCAAAAATCCAGTAGCCTATGAAGTGTCCACTGCACGTGTTTTGACAACAAAAACGTGTTCCAAAAGCCTGCCCGGTCGACAGGGAGGCTACGGCCGCGGCTGTTGAGGCGGAGCGCTCAACGCCGCCCTCCGCAGAGCAGCCTCATCCCAGCTCTCACCCAAGTACAGTGATAGCATAACCGCTCTACGGCGTGGTTTTCCTACTAGCCCATGGGGTTCACGTCTTAAAGGCCTGCCTTTTCAGAGAACTGTGAACAGAATCATATCAGGCTAATTCTTATGAGCCCGGCACTAAACGAAAGGTTGTTTAATTGTCTTGAGGTGATCCGCTGACCCTTTTTTGTCGAGAGAAGCCAAATTCACGCGGCGAACGGGCTCAAGCTTTTCGTGCACGGTACGAAAATCGCCGCGAATTTTCTGGCTTTCGTGGCGTGTCTAGTGGTCTGAGAAGCTTAATCGGTAACTCCTTGCATCCATGACAAGATTGCCTAATCGAGGCGGGGCGCTTGTAAGGCCTTTCCACCAGTTCCCTATGGAATGTGCTAAACTGTTTGCTATCAGCAAATACGTGCACTTGCACACGTGCACACGTGCACGTGCACAGAGCTTCTTGAAAAAGTCTGGACACAACATGCATTAACATTTTGAAGACATTTACTGTTATGGCACCTGCGCCACGTTACTTTCCATATCCGGCTGCCGAGTGTTTTGTATAAACTAGAAATCTAGCCTGCATTGCACATTTAGTGTATTTCTACTTTCATACTGCAATTTTTGTACTGAACTCTGTTCTACCAAGTACCTGTTACTCTGGCCTGATAACCATAATGCGACAGGCGTACACTATGAGGAAGTTCCGCTTCATTCCATGACATAACACCTCCCCCTTCCCCGCTCAGCCCTGGTTCAGACTCCCCGACGTTCTGCCAGGGCTGCGAGGCCGCCGGAGCACCATGTTCGATGCGTAGTGATACCTTGCGTGATGCTGCCCGAAATATGGGACTGGAGCTTGAAGGACCTTTTGGTGCGTTGCCTAGATGTGGTGGATGTGTTGTATGGTAATGCTATAGCAGGCTTAGCGGAGCCACGAACCGCAGAGGTTTGTCCTGCTTACGGACACTGCACGCAAACGTGGACACAGCATTCGTATGGTCGTGCGAGCCACGCATCCCTGTTCCTGATCGCCATCCTTTCCCAAGCGCGACGTCTTTTGCGCGCTAGACTTTGAGCATACTGAACATATTCCGATTATCTTGCTGTGAGAAGCTGGTGGGCTCGTTGGTGCGCTGGAGATTGTTCTCAGCCTCGCTCCAGTTTTGACACTGTCTGGCCACAGTTAACTCTCGCGCGGTCTGCGGCCGTGACCCGGCCTGATATGGTGTTTTTCCACGGCTGCGCTTCCCGCCGTCGTGCCGCGCTGTCTGCGGCTGCTGCGCCGCCGCCGCCGCGGCTGGAGTTAGCAGCGCGAGACGCTGCGAGAGAAGCAATGATTGTCCGTGTGTGTGTTTTTGCTGTTGCTGGCAGCGTCGGGTGTAGTGCGGTGTAGTGAGTTGTAGTGATGGTCCGTTGCGTTGCGTTTAAGTTTGAACAAAAACCGTTTCCCAATCGCGCATCTCTTGTTACCTAACAACTAGGTGTCTTTGACTAATTCCTAACGTAAGACGTACTCCCGCCATCGCCGCAATTGCTATCATATGGTTTCTACCTTAGTTTCGCTCTTTGCGTTTGCCTCTTGCCATGCCCTGCGCGGCAGAGCAAAATCACAGCCCAGGCCCTGTGCCCGCCGGAGTAAGTACCTGCAGAGCATCGGTGTATGCTACTCGCTTCTGTCTACATTTGTATGTTAACCTTCTTTTTCCAAGTTTGCAAGCCCTTAGGTTATGATCTATTAAAACGCAAATTTTGAACTCATCCGAAAGGAAACGCTCTGATTGACCTTGAACTTTAACCAAAAATACGTGAGGAAGTCTTCCGTGCCCAACATAGCTTTTCGGGTTTTGAGATGCGTTGGTAAAGTTTGAGCAGCCCTAGCAATTTTCAGCCAGATTGTGGGGGTCCGTAAACATCGATCTATGGTTTAACATAAATCTCCTGCCAGCTGGAAAGACGCGGGCCTGGCCTAATGTCATGATGGTCGTAATCTGGTCGTATTCTTCAACGCTTATTCAAAAGCAAAACTTAAAGTAGTTTTATGTGAGTTTGGTCACCATGACAAGCGAAAGGTCAAACAAAGTCACTGACCTTAAATAGGCACCAGTGACCTTTTGCATAGTACAGGTATCTAGGTTCTGGGGGCACTTTGGACACCAATCTTGAGTTCGACATTGTTTGGCCTTACTTGACCTAAGAACCCCCAAATTTGGACACAAGTGAGTTCACGTACAGGCCAACGCACGCCGTAAATTTGGTTTCTAGCTCTCTCAGATACTGAGATCTCAAGGGGTCACACTGAGACCTCATCCGAGCGAAGGGTATTCAGCCGGCCACCCGGGCGAGGGTGAAGAGATATGCGCATTCCCATGAAAGTTTAGTGCAAATTTAGACAATTGGATATCTAGATAGGCTTAGGATATCAAATGCGATGAAATGTATCGCAGCAAACCAAGTTTTATTACGACTTAAGATCATGAACACCTTTTAAAAAATGCTGAAGTGGGTTCTGTAATCTGGTTAAGAAAAGCCGAAAGTTATTTCAGAGAAGCGCCGCCACTCGAGCATCGGTCTAGAAACTCGAAAACGGCTTTCACTCCATTGGGGAAACGAACTCACTTTATTCGAAAACTTAGCTGCAATTTAATTAATCATCTGCTGTGGCAATCGATATGCTTGGATTCTAACTCCAATCAATGCTGGATCGCACTGACTTGCCAAAGGTATGTCACGGCAGAGACGGAGGACTAGTGTTCAAAACAACGCGTGTCAAGTTCGAGTTCAATATAATATTCATTGTGCGCACAAGAAATCATTCTTGACAAACCCTTTAGGTGAACGGTAAATTACACAATTGCAAGCACTTCAAAAAATTAGTTGTTTTCACACAAGTCATTTTCAATTGTCCCGGAAATACAAATCGCTCTAAACTCGGATGGATTGTCGGAACACTGAGCTTTACCCGCGTCGTGGCGTGTGAGAAGCCGGCATGACGTGATTTTTTCGACAACAAACCAATGACTTAAAGTCGTGCTTTGACACGTTCAAGCAAATTGCCAATACTTTTTACGACAAGCCATGTCAGTGACCGAAAAATCTTCGGAGGACAATGCCCTCGAGTCAAGAGGTTACTCTTTGGGCAAGAAATTGGGACAGGGATCGTATGCCAAAGTTCGTGTTGCCGAATACAGATCAGGAGACAAGGTCGAAAAGCTGGCCTGCAAAATCGTGGACAAAAACGTTGCCCCTAAAGATTTTCTGGTTAAGTTTTTCCCGAGAGAGTTGGATATCATTCCAAAAATGGACCATCCCCACATTATACGGGTGCACAGCATACTGGAGAGAAACATGAAGGTCAGTGGGCGTGGGGGGTGGGGATGGGCAGCGAGGAGGGGCAATATTACGCTGTGCGTTGCAACGATTGACAAAACAGCCATCATTCTGGCAGGTTCGTGTGTTCATATAAAAGGTGTGGAGCATACCAATTGACTAATCAATCGATTTATTGCATGTAACCGCTGATTACCCACTTCCAGGTGTACATCTTCATGCAGTGCGCCGAAGGCGGAGACCTTCTCGAGTATATACAGAAAAATGGAGTCATTCCTGAGCCGAGAACACGAGCATGGGTGCAGCAAATGATCAGCGGCCTTATCTATATGCATGACCTCAACATTTGTCACCGTGACCTCAAGTGCGAGAACGTGCTCATCACCAAAAATCACAATATCAAGATCGCCGACCTGGGTTTTGCCCGGTACGTGGTGGACGAGGAAGGTAAACGAGTGCTCAGTCACACGTACTGCGGCTCGGCGGCGTACGCGGCGCCAGAGGTGGTCAAGGGCACGCCCTACAATCCCAAAATGGCCGACGTATGGTCCATGGGCGTCGTCATCTACATCATGGTCAACGCCTCCATGCCTTTCGACGACAGTAACCTCAACAAAATGCTGCGCGACCAGCTGAATCGAAACTGGTCTTTCAGAAGCAAAGTCAAAGACAAGATGTCACCAGACCTGAAATCCATGATTTCGAAGATGATAGAGCCCGATCTGACCAAGCGCGTGACGGCTGACCAGGTGCAGCAGTGCGAGTGGTTCAACAGGTCCTAGCGCGCTGGCGGCCGAGCCAGCTCCTCGCACCAGCAAAACTTCGCATTGTCACTATCCCGATCATGCAAGGTTGCTTTCTACATCAACTGTACTCTCCAGTTGCATTCGTGTGTGCGTGCAGTCGACTACGTCCCTTTTTGATGGACTGGAGCCGGTATCCGGCGGATGGACAATCCGGTTTGTCACCCCGACCCCGTGCCACTTTCAAGTGCTGTATCAAATACTGATGACGCAAGATGCGCATATCCAACAGAGTTAATAGCCTTGCAGGAGTGAGGCTTCCATCCAGCACAGACTTAATGACGTGGGAGGCTTCTGCCATTTATTTTCACCACCCAAGGCAGCTCGTCCTCCAGTCAGCGCTACTAATCAACACACCAGCGCAACATTTACCTTCTCGAACGTCTGGCGACTGCACCCCCAGAATCACTCACTATAGGTGAACAACATGACACATTTCAACTCACACCACATAGTGGTAGAATCGCGGACAGATCGCTCACAGCGATCGTCACTCAGCTTCTCATGTAGTATTCGATAGCGGCTGAGAATGCCGCGAATCCGGCACCCCCGAGAACGCCCGCCTTCAGGCCGGCTGGAACGGATATCTGGTGTCAGGGCAGCCGAAAAGCCAGCGCGATTTAACGATCACAGAACACAGATATTGACAACTGTGACAATAACCACGCTGCTTTTCCACGCCTCACGGCATTTGTCCTCATATTGCGCAATGACCTGGATGTCGGGTTGAGAACATACGGAGCGGAATAATTTTTTTATATTATAAAATAATGAGTGGTGTAATAGTTCGCCACGCGCAAATGCAAATACGGTTATTGCCCAGTCCAGTAAAATTATGGCATCTACAAGGCAGGTCGGGCCGGGGCGTATTACGTAAGTTGTTAAGTGCATTTGCGAGGAACATTATTCACGTAGATAAGACAGTAGTGACAGCCTTATTCCTCGTAGAAAAAAACATGTCGGAGATACAAATGCGGTAATATTTCGGCCGCATGTCTTCATCGAAACAATGACAGAAGCGAGTTCGCCGTTGCTAATGCTTCGACAGAGCCATGTTGCCGAAATATCAGCGCAACGATATCTCCATTCTCCTAGTTCTTCTCCGAGAATAAAGCTATTACTAATGCCTCATCAGGCCTGGGATATGCTCTAACCTGAGGTGTTAGCTACCCACGAGTCAATTTTCAAGGAGCATTTGTACCGCCCGCCAATTTCCCATCTCTGAAACCAACAGCCGATATCGCTAATTTTAATTACAATAGGTAGCAATGGGTTTCACCATCCAACAGAGTAGGTTTTGATGACATCAAGGTCCCTGCTGACATGTCGGCTCAGGTCAAGTTAATGCATTGCAACAAATTCGCGAGCATAAGTTACTTGCGTACAAAATGCTGCTTTGAGCATAGAGCCGTTTTTAGTCGTCCACCGCAGAGGCGCGGCAGGAGGCTGGGCCGCCTGAACCGGCTCCCAGAATGACGTCACGTCTACAAGCGCTGGGTCACGTGTCACCCGTCACCCGTTCGATCGAACCCAACTCTCGAGATCGACGTCCCGCGCCAGAAAACGCGTCAACACCTCACCAGATCCAGCCAGCGACGGCAGTCGTCGAGCGCAATGACCCGTCTCGGTGACCTGATCTAACCGCCGACGACAACCCAGTGACCTGACCTGACCGCCGACGACCCAAACCGGTGACCTGACCTGACCGCCGACGACCCAAACCGGTGACGTGAACTGACCACCCGTGACCCAGCCCGTTGACCTGACCTGACCGCCGACGGCCCAAACCAGTGACGTGACCTGACCACCGGTGACCCAGCCCGTTGACCTGACCCGACTGTCGGTGACCCAGCCCGATGACCTGACTCACCGCGCAGACCGATGAGGCCTCCGGTGACGGCGCCCGCGTACGTGCCGTTCCTCATGTCATCCTTGGCCCGGTACTGAAAACGGCCGCACCTCGTGAGCATACTCCCCGCTGTACGGGTCTGCACGAAGAAGGGAACGGGCGGGGCGGGGAGGGTAGGGGCGGGGAGGAAGCGGAAGACTCAGTGCCGCGTTTGTAACTATCGGGTGTGGAGACGCGTGCCCACGGGACAGCTGGTCCGTGATTATATGCATACGTTCGGGATGGTTAACGCATACGCGCGTCCGATAAGCAAGCATGAGAAACAAAAAGCTACGCTAAACACGAAACGAAACACTGTAATTAGACCTATGCTTGATACCGCTTCAACGGCATCGATGCCGACCCCGATACACAGAGCAAGGGTTGACTAAAACCATGGCTTTAATTCGGCCCTGATTCTTAAGATCCCGCCATCGATTCCATTGACAACATTTTAGGAGGCAACCTGTTTGATGGCCCTCCAAAAGCCCAAATAAGACACCATTTTGATACCAATAAAGCTATGTAGGTGGACATAGAAGCTGTTAAGGGGACTATGATTATGTATTGTCTGACTGCGGTAGCATGCAGACAAACTGACACTCTCCCCACATTATTCGTATCAAGAGTTAGTCCGAGCCCTTTGAATGGATACATTTCTTGAATCAGAGCTAACGCTAATCTGTGCCTGTTGCGCGAGGCCCAGACCCCTGCCATCCGATCGTGAAATTCCTGGTCAACTGCCATTTGATGGCGAGCGCATTAGCGTACGACCGTGCTCGGCACGATCAACCCTGCTCTGTGACGTCACATGACCGTCAGCGCGGTCGCTGCCGCCGACTGTAAGCCATCTCGGTCAAGGTCAAATAGCGAACGCCTAAAACGACTCGGGTCCACTCCGCCACGGGTGGGTGTATCGGAAAGCAGGCGCTCTGACTGAACTATCGGGACGTTAAAACACGATGCAGCACATACCATGTAAACGCACTTAGAATGTGTAATGCAGCACTTGCATTTAGTAAACTTCACGGGAAGTGCAATCCCCACCATGGCAGCATTTGAGTCGCTCAGCTGTTTGAGGCCCTCATGTAAGTGTGGGTCAGGACATGCTGAGCCGTGTTACGCTGCCGTGTTTCTCTTGGTCCGAGCCGTTACCACGAAAGGCCGATTTGCCTTGAGCTTCACAAGCTCACTGCTATCTGCCTTACCACGTCAAAGGAAAAAAACGCACAGCTCAACATGGCAGCAGGCATGCAGACGGCTGTAAGAGGTAGTCTCTTTGCCATCTCTAGATTCCACCTTCCGTTTTGCAGATGGGAGGACTGGGACTCATTTTGTCGACGTCACTATTCTTGTACAATACTGGCCAAGCCACATGTTCTTGAACAATCAGAAGCCCTCAGGCCAAAACCCACACCGTTGTGGAAGCCCACTACTCTGCCACGGTCTCTGGGTAGTTGCATATGAGGCAGGTGTTCCCTACTGTTGTGGGAAAGCAGACAAACGGTGGGGCGGAGGGGAAGGGGAGGGGGAAATTGGGAGGCGCTCCGCTCCCGCAGCTGAAACGCGGCTCGGTTGGTCGCACCTCTGGCCGGGATGTAGGCCCGGAGTTCTAGCCACAGCTGGCGGACCTATGGCGTCCAAAACGTCCGACAACGGAGCTAACGCCCCTGGAAACTAAAGGAGCACCAGAATCTTCCAATTCCAATCAGCAAAGTGAGTCCAATGAACGAAGCACGACCCAACACAATCCTCTGTAATGGCTTGCCACTAGCTGGCTACAAAATAGCTGTCAAACCTCTCCCGTCGCACTTCTTATTTCCCCACTATGGATAGCTGTAGGAGAGCTCTTACCGATTCGATGCAGCATTCCACCCCAGCGAACATCAGTCCGATCATGCCGAAGTTCTTCGCATATTGCAGCATAGCAGTCCGCATCTCCATAAAAACCTGGTGAAAATCGCCAATTGTAAAAATGGAGACACAGCAGGGAGGTGGAGGGACGTAACTACAGTTTCACTATGCAATAAAAGCTGGTAGATAAGGGTGGCACGTACATTTTGTGTGTATTCAGCTTACTTACGTTGCATACAATTTAAACATGAAACACGCCATTTTGACAGAACGGTCACAGGTGTACAGTACACGTCCTTGCACGTGCCAGTGAAGCAGCTCTGCACCACAATAATGCACCATTTTTTAAATTAGATAATCTGACGTCACAATTGCGGCTAAGCGTTTTGAAAATTTGGGAGACGCGATTCAATTTGCTAAAATCCAGCTGATTTCCCCATCTCATACCGCATGCAATAAGGCCCTGGCCGTCGTGGTTGCAAAAAATAGCAGATGTGCCGCAAAGGTAAGCAGTGGTAAAGAACAGGCTACATACTTGTAGTGTCGATCAAACAATAAGCCACTTGCTGACGTGAATAACTGAACATAAACATGGACATGCTTGGTTTTAGCTATTCAACAATGTAGCGCAAAGATGACGGGGAAGAGATCATTGCAAAACAAAGCAAATCTGAGAAGACTTTCAGTAAAAAATAATTGCAACAATGAAATTCATCGATACAACTGTTGCATTCTGCCAACATTGGCAGTGCTACAGTGACAACACATAACTCAATGGTAAAGGAGCTGTTCTCAACTTTAAGACAAGAACAAGAAGATGGAAAACTGTATGTTTTTGTCGGACATGTTTCAAACCCCGTCGACTGGAACTTTTTTGGAGCAGGCGAGTGCAAACATTTGGACAAGGATATCACAGATGGGCGCTCTAGATGCTTGCGGCAATTTCAGTGGATTCCATTCTATTTAGTTCAATTTAATGAGCTGCCGCGGCTGCTAGAGATCACACACCGCGCAAAATCCGGCGAGTTCGGCTGGCTTGTTCTGTATCTGGGCACGGTCAATTTAATACCGGATGTACTGAAATGCTGGCACACCCCTGAGGGAAAAACCCTTAAAACCCACCTCTTCTTAATCGGATAATAACCTAAAAAGTACACCAATCGCCGTAATGTAGCCGACTTATTGGAGATACACCAGTATGTGGTATAGATCAGTCATGTACGTCCGTCGTTCTGGCTCCTGATACTCTAGAGAAACCCCTTTCAGACCATTTTGGACTCTGTTGAACCATGGGTCATGCCGTTCATGGGCAATACCAGGGGTGCAGGTAGGATGGGGTGCACGGGGCACGTGCTCCCTGATTTGATGATTATTTGGGCTTTAGGGCGCGCCGACTACCCTGGTCACATGGCGCCTGGGACGACAATCTAGGGCCCGAAGAGCTGGCCACAGGGCGCAGAGGACCCCGGCCCGTATGGCCGGGCTCTCGAATGTCAGTCAGAGACCCCGCTGCACCGATTGGTGGCCTGCTGGATCAATGCGTGCCAGAGACCACTGACATCGAACAGTCGGTTTCGTGTTGGTTTCAACCACGGGTGCACGTTCCCCAGGCAGGGACAAGACCAGGGTCTCGCGATTTGCCTTGGTCTGGGTCCCTGGAAAAATGAGGGCCCTTTATGTCGGTGAGGGGCCCATGGTACCTTGGAGGGACCCTGTGTCGGCAAGAGGCCCTGCACCGGTCAGGACATTTGTTGAACAGGGACAAGTACGGGAACCCGAATACCAGAGTCACTTACGTTGCTCGGGCTCTCTGATAGAATAAGGAGACACAAGAGCTGATGATGGGAGTCCACAATGGGACAATAGAAGGACTCTGTGTCAGTAGCACCAGCACCGAACGAGACGCCCCCGTTCTATTTTGGCCGGGGCCCAAAAAGCCCAAATGACCTCATCGTGCCAATGATAGGACACCTACGCCGGTAAGAGATCTTTTTGCGTCAATGCTGGGCCCCTGTGTCGGCGCTAAAAAATGAACAAGTTTGAACTTCATTGACCCGTGGATAACAACGCTCATGGACCGCATGTTCCACACTTATTCGCTTTCGGTAAATCGACTTCGCTGCATCAAATGATCCACTTGTCAGTGATCGTGGCACGGAAATATGGTTTGATCGTCGTGATTTTCTCTTGAGCATGTCGGAATTCTAGAATCTCCTTAAACTGAGAGCGCTCGATCCCCCAGTGATATCATCTCAAAATTCGCTACGCTACACACCTCTAAACAAGGCAACTTTGGGAGCCGTATCTAATTATTTCTTAGCTTTTATGTTTCAGTCAGGTACTACATAGTCTCATTATTTGAGCATCTAGGTTGGCATAGCCCTCAAATAGGAATACAGAAGGTTTGCGCTGTGTGATAGTTGGTTTTCCTTGATGTATGTAACATTTGGAGAGAACAATATTGAGATGGCATTATCCAACAGAAGGGGCAAATTCACAGTACTGGGATGGAGTAAAGCCCTCATAAAAATATGACTGCCCGTGCAAAATCAATTCCGCGCCACAGGCCTCAGGGCTCGTTAAACGAAGGGGTCGGTTCGAAAAAGATTGGGCTGAGACGGACCACATACAAACTGGTTTGCTTTGGTATCCAATCAAATGGACATAACTTAAAGTGTCAAATGGATGAACACATCCAAGCGCAGCACTAGTCACATGCTTAAGAGACATGTGTGCATGCTGGGAATGAATGCATACAAAAAAGCTCAAATGTGCTGCCAACTGACTGACCATTTTAGATTGGCATGCATTTCTTCAGTATTGTGTTGGCGGATCAACATAAAAATACGAGGTATGTCCAGTAATGCCACACAGTACAGCACCATGCCTCTGACACATCATATGAAGCTCAGCAGCATGGCTGAAGTTGCTGCTGGCAGGGGTCAAAGTCCATTTGCTTAAATTCTTGAAAATGTATAAAAATAAGGAAACATGCCTGGCTAACCTGTAGCAAATGTTTCATGTGAATTAAATGCATTGCTTGAAAAACTAGACCTCAAGTTGGCTAAATTATTGAAGTCACTGGTGTCTGTAGTTACAGGTACTGGGGGAAACCACATATCAAAATAAAATTGTACAGCAAGCAGATTTGATGGTACATGTGTGAATTGAAGCCAAACCCAAGGGCTTCTCATTCCTTTTTAAAAATGTGATGAACCTTATACCCTGACGATAATGAGGAACCTTAATGAACATTTTGCCCTGATAGATGACAAACAAAAAGTAAAAGAGCTAGAGACAAAATAATTCACAGGTAGGTCTACAATCAAAATTGCTTGTTTTACATTGGGGCATATCTAGGTCATAACCTCTTGGTCCAATAAGGTCAAACAAGGTCAAACTAGAATTCAGAGTCAAAGGTGCCATCAGGCAGACTTTCACACACCACTTATGAAAACCTGGATACATTTTCTTAGAAAGAGATTAGGGTCACTACAGTTCAGTAACCTCATCAAACCTGAAAGGTGAAAATAACAATTATTGCTGACCAATTTCTTTCAAAACAAAATCAATATCAAACACTACACTATGCATCAAGCTCTTCCAAGCAAAAGATAATCAAGGTCATTGTAGGTCAGTGATCCCTCCTGAACTCCATTAAAGCAGCAAAGGAAATCTGAGCTCCTCATGATCAAGGAACTTTTAAGATAGGTCAAAAAGGGGCTGAGGGCACAAAACAACACTACAACACAAGTTCTCCAGTGAAAAAATGCACACTTTTATTGTGAAGTATGTTTGCTGCATTTGAACCAATCACCTCTTTGGCTGTTTGCTGCTTCAGTTCTGCTCCAGTTATTGAAGGGTTCACACTGGATGTAAACAGGCCAAGAGCTCCTCCCAAACCAAAACCTGTGAACACAGGATAAAAAGTCATTTAAAAAGGTGCCTTACAATAATACAAAATATACACCAATAAGCTCACTGGATTTTGCATGAAAAGGCCATAAAAAGACATGTTGCTTTTAGAGTCATTATGTCACCTGTATCATATGAAGTCCACATAGTTTTTCATTACATCTTACAATCATGGTTAAACCTGGCCCCCCATGTCATTCATAAATCTTACCTGCAACTCCACTCAGGGCCTGATTTAAAAGGACAGCTCTCAAAAAATGCTTGGACCATTTTTTCTTCCCTTGTCTTTATGTATGGAGGGCTGAGTATTGTTGGAATCAGCACATTTTCTCTATAACGGTTTGGATTCTGCATCATGTATTTGCATACATCATCCATTTTTTCTAATGATATGCCATAAATGCCAACTGGAGGCACTCTGAGCATTGCACTTTCAGATCCATGTCCAGCAGGAAATTCACCAATGTTAGATTTTGCTGCAGACATGTTTCCCACAGATGAAGCAGAATATTAGCTCCACACCGCAGGCAAGGTCTTGCAGAAGCTTCAGCTGGTAAATGAGCTGAACAACCTGAAAAATGCTTCGGGTCAGATACATCAACCACCATTCAAACAAATCTGCTCCATATGAGTCAGATATTATTGGATTCATATTCAATGGCATCAGAAATGCTTATCTGAGCAGCAGTTCTTACCCATGTTTAAGTATTTCATGTACGGGTAGTATGTGTGTCCCGCAGCAGCTGATAGTGCATATGAAATTCATTATTGCCAAACCTTGAACGATGACATACAGATCAGCCTAAACTGTGCATATTCAGCATATATGTAAAAGGTACACATGCATAGTACATGTGATAATCATGCTGCACCAATGCTGTACACTACTGCCTATTTTAGTTGATGCTATTAAATGTCCTGCAATATTCATTGCATTATAACAGAGCTCAAAACATATAGACCTGAAATGATCAGTAAGCAGCCTTTCTCATAACCTGCTGAGAGTTCAAAAGGCATGTTGTTTCATGCCAGCAGCTGGCAGAAATTGTAGTCACAGATTTTAGCAATCAATGTTAGTGGCAAGAGGAATAGAGTAATATATCTGCTGGAACCAAAGCTTTTTGGCCCTGAGCAATCTGACAAGACAAAACAGCAAGTATTCATCAATCCCAGTTGTCAAGTTATATAATAGAACTTAAATGCAGCATGGAAACAATGCTGTGTGCAAACACAAAGTGCATTTCAGAGTGCCTAAGGAGCCACCATCAGTTACATTGCATGCTTTGGCTATTTTCACTCCCTGCTGTCAACCCTGTTATTCACTGCTCACTCTGTGCAACATCTGGCATGGTGTGTCTAGAATGCAAAAAAGTGAACATTAGGCTCAACATGTCCATTGTGTTAGCACAATGAGCTGAATGGCTGTCCATTTAACAGCTGCTGCCATACAGCTGTCATATCTGTCCATTTAACTGAACAGATATGGTGACGCTGCAACATCTAGACAACAATTTCAGTACCCAAACAAATCTGGGAGTCCTAGGTGTGGACACCACAAAGTTCAGCACCCAAAGAGCCACAGTTGCAAAACACCAAGTTTTTTTTGTAATTCAAGCAGAACTACAGCTATGTCCACAGCCTTCTCCCCAATCAACATCCGCTCTAGATTCCTTCCTTTTATGTGCAATTTAAGTTCAGTTGCGCAAGCCTCCCATACTGGACGTGTGGTGGCAAGAGCGGCATTGGCTGCATTCTACCTCACTACTGGAACGACAATTAAAAACGGACTTTGGGAATGGAACTCCAAAACAACCTAAAGCATACCCCGCCAACAGATAAACTCTCATCCGTTTTTATACCTGCGCGAAATCCGATCCCCCGCCACCCACTCCCGTCCCACCATCGCCACAACGCGCCGCAAATTAAACCCGGCCCAAGGTAGATGTCCGTACTAATCCGTGATTGTATCTTTTGCGTCATAGTTGTTTTATAATCACTACCACCTTTTTACTTTAAAACGTGAGCCTATCAGTTCAGACTTCAGAGTTCAGGAAATAAGCATCAGAACATACGGAACGGCAGCTACTGTAAACGCAAAATAAACATGCATATAAAAGGCCTATTAAACACAAAATTGACAAGCAGAATACGGACGTATTCAAAACAGGTGGCATGCGTGAAAGACGTAGGTGCTGCCGAGATCTTAGCACAACAGAGCAGGACAAGAATGGTTAAGGGGCCCGCAATATAAATTATGCATTTCCAGCAACATCAAGGTCGGGAGCGGTGCCGCGGTTTTTGATTTAGGGGGCCGTGATTATCCAGGGGCTTCTTAGACAAAATAGGATCTGACAAACAACGTTCTGGGCGGTGCTGTATTCGCAAAAAAGCGCACCGAGGCGCACCTCTTATTCAATTGCTACTTTATCATATCCAGTCAAATAAATGTTGATAATAAAAATCCAGAATGGGGAAACCAGTATTGGGTCTCGTCCTTATCAGGAAACTTGTTGCGGTTCTCCATCGAGAAGCGTCCCACCTGGTGCGATACACGCGGGGCTCCAAATTTAGAGCGGCACGCTCTCGATTCGCGAGGGGGCCTCCCAATCTTGCTACTAAGACACCTCCTTTCCCAAAAAATGAGTAACTGCAGCTGTCTCATGCATGAAGGGGCAGCCTTTTCCAGAAATGGCGTCTACCGCATAGAGGACGCCTCGTACCCCACAGCACGGCCAGCTCATACTTCGCGGCGGGGGCCCTTCCGAGCCAGCAAAGGGCCTCTCTGACATAATGCTAGACCCTCTAATCTAAAGCACGGGCTTCAACGACATATTCCATTCAGGAGAATAAGTCAGCTACCAGAGAGTTGTTCAGGAACAAAAATGTATTTCCGCCCAACGCTACACCTTATTCGTCGCCATTTTGAAACGCTCTCGACGCCATCATGGGTCATGCCGCGTATGGCTAACTTCGTTCAGATTGGCAACTTTAGTGTAGAAGCCTAGCGGATTTTTTTTGTACAGATAAGGATTCTTTTTTTTAGCTTTCGAATCAGTTATATCACTAATTCATATTACAAACAAAAAATAGAACATATTTATGGTGTTTTTGTTAAAGCAATTCCTTGCCTTTGGTTTTTGGTTATGAAAAGCTGGAAAGCTTTCTGGTTTCACCACCAGTCCTAGCCCGTTATACCCTGTCATTTGTCTCCATCAACACTGAAGTCTGTCTTGCTGTTGGCTGGATACAATATTACGGCGTCGTTCTCTGTCGTGTTTCAATGGGGCGATACGATAATAGTTCTGATGAAGGAGGGAGCTCGCGAAGAGGAAGGAGCAGGTCGCCGAGAAGAACTCCGCCCAGGTATTCTCAGGAGGCGGGCCGGTCTCACCGTGACGGTGGGGGGTATGCGAGAAGGTCCAGTGATAGAACTTACTCCTACAAGATGCTGTGTATTAGCAGCATCCATCCGAAAGCAGCGGAAGATGTTATCAGAGAAGATTTGTACAGAGAATACAGGAAGTTTCCTGATGTGTCAGTCAAGATTGTTGTCGAGCATGATGGAGAGCGTGTGGCATACGTGTACTTCAGAACTTGGGAGGATGCTCGGGATGCCAAGCATGCTAGCAGGGGGCGCATCATGTTCTATGATAAGCCAGCAATGGTGGAAGCTGTTTATGACACAGTTCCACAGGAGTACCTTCCTCGTCGCCGAAGCAGGAGCCCAATGCTTGACTATCCTCCCATGGACAGCAGGTACATGAGGCCAAGATCACCCCCACGTGACTATGAAAGGTATGGTCCACCCATGCCTGCTCCAATGGATCCATATGGATATGAACTTCCGCCCCATGATCCATATGGCTACGGTCGTGGATATCCCTACAGAGAACCTCCAAGGGGGCCCCCCTATGGGGGAGGCTATGGACCACCTTATGGTGCCCCAGGATATGCAAGGCCAAGATTTGAAAGACATGAGAGAAAGGAGAGATTTCCCAACTATCTGCACCACATACCACCCGAGGATGATCCCACTGCTTGCCGTACATTGTTTGCTGGCAACATGGAGCTGAACATCACAGAGGAAGAACTGAGGAGGATCTTTAACAGATATGGAAATGTGGAAGACATAGACATCAAGAGGCCACCTCCTGGCACAGGGAATGCATTTGCATTTGTGAGATTTGAAAACCTTGACCAGTCAAACCGCTGCAAAACAGAGCTGTCAGGACAGTACATCGGGAAGTTTCAAGTGAAAATTGGATATGGAAAAGTTCTCCCATCATGCAAGGTGTGGGTTGGTGGACTGGGCTCCTGGACAACTGTGCAGACCTTGGAAAGAGAATTTGACAGGTTTGGAGCCATCAAGAAAATTGAGTATGTGAAAGGTGAACCATATGCTCATGTCCTCTATGAGACCCTGGATGCAGCTCAGGCAGCAGTGAATGAAATGAGAGGCTTCCCACTTGGAGGCCCGGACAAGAGGATCAAGACAGATTTTGCTGCTGATGAGACAACTGTTCAGTTTGGAAGAAGGCCCCCATTTGATGGCCCAGGATGCAGTGAGGACTTCAGAGGTAGGGGCCGTGGTGGGTTCCGAGGTGGAAGAGGAAGCTTCAGAGGTGGGTTTGGTGACCGTGGTGATGGCAGTGATGAGTCATATCATTCAACTCTCCGCCAAGTTCCCACAGAGAACAGGTCTGTAAGTCCATCTCGTAGAAGTGAGACAGGCTCAGAGGGTGGGCATCTGAACACTGCAAAAAGTCTGTCAGATGTGGCACGGAAAGTGGGGACATCTTGGCACGGTGCTATGATCTTGAAGAGCTCATTGTTTGCATGCAAGTTTCACCTCACTGATGGTGATGCAGACATTGCAGACACACTGCTGAAAGATGAGAATGAAAAGCCTTTGCTGAGGATCACTCAGAGGCTGAGACTTGACCAGGCAAAGTTGGATGATGTGCAAAAGCGAATCACATCATCTCCTCATGCTATCTATGTGGCATTGCCAACATCATCATCACCTGCAAATGTTGATGACTCATCGGTCCAAGCAAGGTCCCTTCGAAATTTGGTGTCCTATCTGAAGCAGAAAGAGGCAGCTGGTGTGATATCTCTGCTCAGCAAGGAAGGAGATACCACTGGAGTTCTGTATGCATTTCCCCCATGCAACTTCTCCAAGGAACTTCTGACCAGGACTGTGCCAGCTCTCTCTGAGGATGCTGCGAAAGAAGACCACCTACTGGTTGTGGTGGTCCGTGGAAGCTCTGCTCAGCTGGCACTGACCTAGGTAAGGGGGGGTGTGAATTGTATGTGGTACTGGGCACTATTAATGTATCTTGAGGATTGCAAACATATCTTATCAGTATGGCATATCCAGATGTGTGGTGCATAATATATTGTCTTTGTGTCCTATCTGAATCAGAAAGATGCAGAGAAAGTAGAGGAAGGAATCTGTAAATTTTACCTGCTCAGCCATATTATATTGTTAGGAGCTGGACAGGACGCATTTATCATTGTATCTAGCAATGAGTCAGCAATCACTGTGCAGTGGTATGAAGTTAAAAAATGAAGTAAAACAGGATTCAGTTTTCTCAATTGGACCCTGTTGGCATTGCCAGGAATGGAAAGAATTAACATGTAGAATATGTTGCTTTGCATTATCCGTAAGTTTTCCAAAATTCACGGGTCTTAGCATGACATAACATTATTTTTGGTTCTTGCATTGAGAACCTTGGCAGTGTCTGTAGTGATGTCACTTGTTCGTTGTTCCAGGGACATCACTGAACAGATGAATTGGCTGCATGGAGTGCTTCCTGGTCGCACACGCTTCTGGACCGGATGCCAGCTGGAGGGTCATGCCTCCTCGGGCCTTTGTAACCAAGCTGCTTGCATTGTTGCCCAGAATTCACTTTTCCATTCTCACCTTTGATTGGTGCTTTGTTTGGGACTAATGTAACTTGTCCAGTGATCTGCGATGAAGTTGTAATGCTTGCTTCCTCCCATTAAATGTTCTGGCTATTTTCAGGCAAACGGCGGCATTATATGGTGATGTGAATGTGCAGTGTTGGTGAGAAGTGTTGTGAAAGTGAATTACAAGAAATCGTCACATTAGAGATAAAAGAGGCTAGGAATGGTGCAAAATGTGAGATCAGTGATGAACACTAGAGCATCATGGTGGTGACTGGGCACCTGGAGAATCATCTGTGAATCAAAATGGTGCTCTTTCAAAATTCAACTCATTTGCGAGTGACAGATCTTAAATGGTGTATGATATGCACTGGAACACTGATCCAGCTCATTGGTGTAGTGCGGCCACCCGACTTAAGTGGTTCCTTGCGGCCAACCTCTCCAGGGTATTTGCCCAGTGCTGTGGTGAGTGACATTGAGGAATGATGCATCCAGCTGCCATTGACGGCTGATACGTGACGGCTTGGGGTGGCTCCGCGGAAAAGAACAATCATTTGGTGTGCCCAGTGCGGTGGCGCGCTCGTTTTCGGTGAGTGCTGTGGTAGTGAGGAGTGATCTAGCAGTGGCAGTGGCTTCCAGTTACGTTCTCCCGAGTTCTTCATTCGTGATCGGTCTTCAGCATCTGCCTGTCAACAGGCGTCTCAGACACTCGCCGCCTGGTTCCCACCTGACTCAAAACTATCAGCCTGGTTTTTTCTCAGTGATTTTTCTTTTTTCTCAGTGCTCAGTGATTTCTTAGTGAGGTGTTCCGTGACGCACCGGTTGCGGGCAACAGTGGTGGCGCTGCGCGTAGTGGCTGTCCCAGGGTGCGTATTTGGGGTGGCGCGGTCGCGACGCAGCAGTTCAGTGTTGAGGTGCCAGTGAGGAACCAGTGTGAGCTAGCTCCAGTTTGGATGGCCGCCAGTGAGGGAGCTCATGGTAGTTCAGTTCGGGAGGATGCCTCGAGAAAACGGTGCTAGAGCTGGCCCGATTCTGGCGGAATGACGATAAAACCGAGGTGAATAGAGAGAGGAAGTGCTACGCGTTGTGAGGTGGCAGTGAGCGACAACGGTCCGACCGTGCAGAAGCAGCGGCGTGGTGAGGTGGCCTTGCTGGGTAAAGTGACAGTGGGGACGTTCCAGTCGTGGTGGGTCAGCAGTTCATTGGTGGTGCTTTGCGGTGGTGTAGTGACAGCCCGGCGAGAAGTGCTTGGTGGTGGCGTTACGCGCACTGTCACCATGTATTTTGCTCCAGAACAACGGCCAAGCACTGGTGAGTGGCAGTGATGAAGTAAGTGACACGGTCCCTGACTGAATTAGGGGGGGGCAGTCATGACTTCGGGGTACCGGTTGTGGTTGCGGCGTTCGACCTGTGCCAGTGGGGAAGCGGCCTGTGGGTGATATTTATGCGAAAAGCGATCCGAAATTTAGCAAGTTCCTCGTGGTTCTACGCATGTGGCGCGCAAATGCCTAAATTTGTGCTTTTTTGAAATTATTGAATCAGTGTGTCCAGAGGCGTTTCAACCGCAGGCTTTTATACGTCAAGGATCTTTTGCACCAGGCTTCAAGCCAAGCGAAAGTATGTGCGAGTCAAATGCCGTGTCATTTGGTTGGACCCGTACATACATACCTTGGGGTCGGTAACGGGTGGCGGCATTGGTCATTCAGGTTGCATCTTGAGGAAGACGTGGGATTCGTCCTGGGGACGCTATCTCCGTCTTTCCTATATATCTGTCTCCATTTCACCATGGTCGGCGAGGTCGTGGCAGACAGTCGTTCGCGGTATTTGCTTTGGGACGACATTGCCCCGTGAGGCCCTAATCAGTAGCGTGAAAGCAAATGCGGGCAGTGCACGCTGGCACAGTGTCCCACTCGGAAATTGATAAAGGTCAGGTCCAAGCAGATTCAAAGGGTGACGCTGATCTATCTGCGTACATCACATACAGACGCGCATTCTCTTCCGGGCGAAAACCTAACTATGAGCTGGCTCCACGGCCTGTTAAAATGCCTGGCCGGGGCGCTAAAATTCGCGTCTGTCATGTCGGTCGTTTCAGACGTAGTTGGTGGCGTGACTGCGCACAACGTTGAATTATAAGGTTTTTGAGAGTGGAAAGTTCCGTGCCATATTGCCCTTGGCGTTTTCCATACGACCAGGACCAGGGGTGTCTGCCTATCTCGTTAAATACGTTCTTGCATATCGTTAAATGCGTTCTATAGAAAATGAACGTTCGTTTTTGCGAATATGCTCTCCGCTCCGCCATATATTTATACCCGTTGCCTTCAGGGGTCCATAGGACCATATTAGACGCGCCTTAAGGCCACAATATCGCAGGCAGGCACAGGTGAGGGAAGGGTCGTCTCAGAAAATGATGTGAGAACCAGTTTTAGTTTAGTTTTTCATGCATCGCCAGGTGTTAATGCTCTTGCTCTCGCCAATGCTAATGCCTTGCCTCTGGCCGACTCGGGAGGGGGGGGGGGGGGGGGGTCTTGCCAACTCACGCTGAAAACAAACTTCAACGGACCTGGTTGTCTAGCGTAGCTTTTGATTGTAGGTGCCGATGAGCCCTTCGGAACCTGAAGGAAGGGGGGGAGGTACGTACCGTCTGCCCCCCCCCCCCCGCTCCCCCCAGCCCGGCCTGCGCCGTTGGCCTATCGTGTGAAGATTCGAGAGTTTTGGCTTTGGGGATGTGGGTCGCGCTGGAATGGTGGACATTGGCAAGTTGTCGAGAATGGGAAGGGATGGGTGCCTCATGACACATCGTGTGCGGGGTCTTGGATATTCCACTTCATTCAGTTCCGTTTTAATGGGAGTATATTTTAGGGTCGTAAAAACGTATGATTTCAAATGTGGCACTGACACTAAACAAGTCACTTCACACGGGCAGATACGCTCGGGTTTACGGTAAAGGGACTGCTCGCTTGCCCATCCTCGGTGCGCGCTGCGGCGGTATAGGGTTTAGCTGGTCCGATGCCGGTGGAAAGCGTGTGCTAGGTTCTATGAAGCGAAATTGACAAGCTGGATGTCATACGTAGGGTGGCGCGTCCGTTGCGCGATGCGTGGCACCGCCTTGGCGGTGCCGCACGGGGGGGGGGGGGGGCGTCTGTAGTGGTCCCGCTTTTAGTGGTGGCGCCACCTATATTGCTCCCCTATGCGCGTCTACGAGACGGACGTGGCGCGTGTACCGCCCCGCGGAGCGCGTGTGGAAGGGAAAGGTGGCGCGGCGGGCGCGCCGGCCGTCGGGCAGTCGCGCGTAGGGGGCGGGGAACGGCGGTCCGGCTCGCAGGCTGGGGAGCACTCGCGCGGTCGAACGGTTGCAGCCGTCCGTCTTCGGGAGGTGGTCGTGACGTGAGCGTCGGCAGAGACCGGTCGGCGGTGTTGAACGTTTTCCACGTGGGCCGGTTTCACGCGGTCCCCGTTCACGGCATTGTGACAAGTGTCGCACGGTGGCGGCGTTCTCCGTATGGCTCATCGCTGCTAGGAACGGACCGTCGTAGGGGCACGACAGCGGCGGCTTCACGGCGTCGTGCCGCACGAGCACGTGCGTGGCTCGTGACTGCGCATCACTCGCTTGCCGGGGCGCCGCCGGCCGCAGCGCCTGCGTGATGCGGCGTAGCTGGGAGGCGCATGACGCCGGTGCTGGTGTCTGGGCGGTTCGCGCGAGTCAAGGAGCTTGCCCGGCAGGTGGGGCGGCAGGCCGTAGACAAGGTTGGCGGCGCTGCACTAGAGGTCGGCGCTTCCCAGATGCCGAGGAGCGCCAGCGGCAGGGCGTCCGTCCATCGGGGCGTGACCGCGCAGCGCACGGCCACCCTGAGCCGCCTGTGTATTCGTTCGACGAGCCAGTTCGATGGTGCGGGGCGGCTTGCCAAGCGGATGTGTGAATAGCCCAAGAGCGCGGTCTGCGGTGAGGCGGCTGTGTACGCCGAACCTAGCGACTCATCTGGCGATAAAGGCGCGGGGGACGGTGGCCGCGGTCATGTCGCGGATCGGCAGGGCCTGTGGCCAGTGGATGTACCGGTCGTCGATAGTCAACATGCAAGCGTGGCCTTCGTTGGGCGACATACATCCCACCATGTTAACGTGGATGTGAACGAGCCCTGTCACTGGGCCGGGAAACACGCCCGCAGGTGAGCTTGCGTGCTGTTGCACCTTTGGATGGTACGCCTGGCAGGTTTGGGTCGACATCCGCGAGTTTCTTTTGACGGAGGGCCAGATAAGCCTGCTGGTGATAAGCTGGACATTGGCTCAAACCCCGGGTGCAGCAGGGTGTACACGTGCCAAAAGCAGGCATGGGGCGGCGGCTCTGGCATTCACGGGCGCGTTGTGCCGATGGGGTCTCCACCACGAGCGTCCGGCCACTGGTTAGGGGGGCGTCACACAGCTGTGGGCCGTGGTCGGAGACGCGGAACCGGATGGGCTCGTCCACCTGCTGAGCTGCCGCCGGCGCGCCGGAGTCGTTGACGGCTGGTTCCGGTGCTACAAGCGCGTTTGCGGTGGGAGACAGCCGCCCGGCGGCGCCGTTCATCTTGCCGGCACGTTGCGGGATGTCTGGTGAACTGAGAGATCAAATCGATGTGCCGGGCGCTCGCGTGGGAGTGCCGGGCGATGCCCGACGAGATGGCGTGGGTCAGCAGCTTATAGTGGTCGTTAAAGACGGGCAGTTGCCGCCCATTGACGATGTACCGGATATATGTGGTTGATTTGTATGGGGGGCTATCCCCCCCCCCCCCCCCCAGGCTATCTAACTTACTCCCACAGTGAGCTTGCCTCGCCCCAATTTTGGGGTCCTGAGTATATACAAGGCATTTTAAATTGGACGTCATGATTGTCAGTTTTAATGAAGATTTATAGTTCTTTCATGGGTAAGGCGAACAGAGAAAGTGAAGACTGTGATGTCATGTTCGGCTGAGTGCAGCTGACTGAGGTTATCACGCTTGGGAATTTCTGTGTCTGTACCGTGTTAACTTGATTGTGCTTTCTTTTTCAACAGCATGCATATTTTTAAATATACGATTGAGGTATCTTACTGACCTTGGTCTAATTTGGGACAGCGATCGACAGCGCTCACCACCTCGTCACAGCTCCAACACTCGCTCGTAATGCTTCCAGATGATACGGCGGCAAACACTACAGGTCACAATATCGGTCATCAGAGTGTCGAAGGAGCTACCGACAAAAATCGCAGAGTCCTCCCCGCGCTAAATCACGAAGCCCTTGCCCTGCCAACCCTCGGAACTCCCCAAACAAACCCCACTCACGTCACTAAATGGCGATGCTTCCGAAAACCCTGGACCGCCCATTCTGGATCAAATTAAAGTTTCGGGTGCCATGGCCGCGATTTATACGACGAGAGCGGCGTATTTTTACTAAGCCAAGCGTTTCGTTTTTCTTGTGGACTGTCCGCTCCACCAATAACCTCGCCTCCCTCCATTTTGGACGTCGCGGGCACTGCTTTGCATATTCTTGGTAAAATCACTCCACCTGTCGAGATTTCGGTCGTGCCATTGAACATTCATGTGTCATTACTTCCAAAAATTTGTCTTTTGACTGTGAACTCAATCTGGGCGTCGACTTCACTATTCGACACCAGCCCATGCACAGCCCAGCTGCCATCAATATTAGCTTTTTCACGCTCCCACCATTTCAGTTTCATGTTTGGAACACGATACCTAAAGACTCAGCCCAAAACGACAAAAAAGGGTTCCCTTTGTCCTGAATTAACAGGTGCCCCGTTACACTCTCACCGCCAAAACCCTCTGAGAACGACAAACGAATCTGACGCACTCATTATTGATGACACAAAATCATCTCTTGTTTTTGACAAAACCTTCTAAGTCCCTGCTTTTTCGGAGCTCTTAGTACGCATGAAACTGCCGCGAAATGCCACGCCCACCGAGGCTCTGCGTCATCGAGAAACACACTGACTAGTCCAAATATGAATTGTTAGTCGCACAATCCATAGCCTTTTATGACAAGCCCTCCATTTTAGTACGTTTAAGCAGTGTTACCTACCTCCCGGCAACATCATAAAAAAATGCGTACCGCACAATCCAGCCAGTCTCATGACGCCAGCTACCGTCCACGCAGCTGTCACGGCCATCCCGACTTCGCAGAATGTTCTGCGTCTGCAGAAACCGACACACCTCACAAGACTACTCCGTCCGATTTTCAGTGGAACCACATCCCGGAACCATACCGCACACATCTCCGCGCTACTTAATGCTGCTTAAACACTCTAATGTTTTTTTTCCGGAACTTCGATTCATTACATCAAAGTTACCCCAGTGTACGAACATCACATCGAACTCACGGACACCACTCCGGGTTGCAAAAACCTTTATCGCCAGCCATACGCACGTCGCGACATTATGAAACCCGAGGTCGATACGCTACTCGTAAGTGGTATTATCGATCCTGCCGTCCCTCCCTACAACGCCCCTCCCTACAACGCACTCATTGTTTTGGTCAAGAAGTCATCCTCTTCCGAACATGGTATGTTCGTGGACTGTCGCCTCCTGGACACCCGCATGATCAAACACGATTGGTACCAAAATTATTTTGCTACGGATGCCATAGACCAGCTATCCAGCTGCACAGCATTTTCTTCCCTAGATTTACTTTACTTATTCCATCAGGTCAAGCCAACACCATCATCTCGTCCATACACGGCAGTCACTGCTAACAACGCTCATTACCGGTACAGACGAACGCCCTTTGCCCGGGCTACATCATCCTCATGCCTAAATCGCGCCCCGCAGACCGCACTGTCGGGAATGCAAGGCATCGGCGCATTCCCATATGGAGACGGCATACTTGTAGTCAGCCGTAATAATAAGCAGCACTTAGAAAAGCTACACCGCGTGCTGTCCCGTATGGAGAAAAGCACGTTTTGTACTATGCCCATCAAAATGCTGTTTCGTGCAGCGCTGCATGGACATCTCGATCACATAATTGACACACATGGGGCGTACCCTCACCAATCCAAAACTGAAGTTGTCTAGGAGTTTCCACGCCCAACGTCAGCCCAAGAAATTTGTTCCTTTATTGGATTTTCTAGATTTGATCGACGCCACATTCCGTGAATGTCTGAACTTACCGCGCTATTGGTAAACCTCTCCGTAAAAAAGTCAAATTTGAATGAAGCGACGAGTGCGAAAAGCGTTCCAGTCTATCAAGGACGTCTTGATTCATTACCCCGTTCATTGCTGTCTTGATTTCACGACATTTTTATCTCGCCACTGACGCAAGTGCATTTGCAATCAACGACATCCTGGAATACAAAATTCGCGATGAATTCCACCTTATCTGATACCTTAGCCATTAACTGAACAAAGCAGAACAAAACAACTCAGCCACTGAGAAATAAGCGCTTGCCATCTTCCGGTCTTTAAAAAAATAACCTCCAATACTATGTGCTTGGACCACTTACTCATGCTCGTACAGATCCCTTAATACTGCGAGGATTGTGTAAGGCCACTAACCGCAGTGGTCGACTCACCGGAATGGTCTTTGAAATTATCAAAACACGATTTTGATACCACGCATCTCCCATGACGCCTCAACGCCACAGCCGATGTCTTGTCTCGCGTGAAACCTGAGCCTCAGTCCAAAACAGACTTTCTTGCTATGCTTCGGTCACTGTGTTCGAAAAAGAAGGCTGGACTCGAGACCGGGTCAGAGAGGAAAGAAACAAAGATGCATCTATGATTCCTGTCATTGGGCGATTCTCGAACAAATCAAAAGAGCATTCAGACCTTCAGCTAGACGAGGGGTTATCAAACTACTCCTTCAGTTCCGATGGACCGCTTTATCATGTCGCCTCAAAAACAGCAAAACGCGCCCATACATTGGTCAATTAGAATTCCCAGCTCCAATGAAAATGAGTGCCGTCTAAAAATGCCAGGACATGATGTGGTCAGGTTATTGGAAGTTTGACAAAGCTACTTTTAAAATTTGTCCTTCAGTCTTTTGGAAATGCATGTACACATATATCCACAACTCTGTAAATTCTTATCGTTTGTGTATGGAGCCTGCACTCTCCGTAGTATCAAGCGTGCATCCTTACAACGACACCATCGGCGTCTTATCCGATATGCTTTTCATATTTTGACATTGATGGGCATCTGATAACTAGCTGCCGTGAGAACGCCTACTATCTGTCACGGATCGAACATTTCTCTCGCTGGCATGAATCTATCCCGATTTAAAAAATAAAAAAATAAACCAGGCGGTGATTTAAGCCTTTGTCGAAAACATCACATCTGGAAATATTATTAGCCATTATTTTTATTTAGTGAAAGAGGGTCAAATTTCACTTCACCCGAGACGCCCGCCCATCGCTCAGCTGACGGGTCGGAGAGAACGTCATAAAGGCGGCCACCGGTCCGCGCGTGGACCGGTGTGAAATGCGTAGTCGCGGCTATTGTGCAACATTACCGTCTCTGCGTCGGCACCCCACGCGTGTATCCTGAACACCCGGAAGGCAAGGCTCACGCCGTTGTCTTCCAGGGATGCGCGTGCAGGATGTACGCTTTAGTGATTCGAGAGTGAGCACGTGTGGACCAGTATATATTGCGAGCCTGTTCTATGCAATACAACCAGTGTCTTCTCACCAGCTTTTGGCGTGTCACCTCCAAGATCTCCGACCACCACTGTTCTCCACTCAATTCGAATTTGCTGCCTGCTGGAAAGAAGGCAACGAATCTAGACACCTAGAAGGAAAAGATCAAGCAATTAATCGAATCGCCTAAATTCTTCTGAACATAGCACCTAGCACTGTGACCCTTTCTTGGAGTGCGTTCTGGGGTGCCGAAGCTGTTTTGTGTTCTACGTGGTGTTGAAGCTTTTGATTCTTGCAGATGAGAATAGGCAGCTATTAGCGCCCACTAAGCTAAGCATTTTCATAAGGTATCTTATTCAAAACAATATGCGGGCCTTGAGACACGTCATTCGAAAATTATGCCGCTGACTATCCAGTGCCGACGTTTGTTTACCTGAGTCGCGAGTCATGCATGTTGATATAAAGTTGTATTGAGACCATAACATTTAAGTCAGCAAGAGTGCAGGATGACTAAAGTGTGTCATTGGCATAACCGGGCAGAGGTTATGACGGGCATCACCAATGCCCAGGGAAATGCTATACCACGAGCAGAGGCCATATTACAAGTATTGCAAATACCCAGTAAACTAGTACACTACTAGCAAAGGCCGCTCGAGCCATGACCTACCGCTTTTCGCTTGAGCTGCATGCTCTCAGATCTGCATCATGCGACTTCGGTTTCAAGAACCTGTGTTTGAGGGGTTAGGAGAGCACCGTTGCACACTGCCTTTCGGTTAACGTTCCTTCTCATAATATTGTCGTGTCGCTCTTGGCTATGCAATGGTAAGACCGTTTCCGAAAAGTCTGTTATCATAAGAAAATGTATTCATGCAGCGAACGCAACGGTATTTAGTCTCGTGTACATTGACACACACACACACACACACACACACACACACACACACACACACACACACACACACACACACACACACACACACACACACACACACACACACACACACACACACACACACACACACACACACACACACACACACACACACACACACACACACACACACACACACACACACACACACACACACACACACACACACACACACACACACACACACACACACACACACGCATACATGCTAATGCAAATATGTATATGGAGAAGCTTCGTCAAAGTTATTCGCCTTGCTGCCTGCCACTGCATATTGCCACCGCATGATTTCTGGGAATGCACCAGGTGTCCTCCGTGGGAATGAACTGTTCTTGGCAAATGATAATGGCGTGGACCACACAGCGGGGCAGAAACCTGCCTTGTGACACCTGACAACGTCATGTGTGCCGAATGACCAGCGACTGGATGCAATTGGCGAGTATCCCTACAGTGGTCGTCTGCGGAGCGCTTCCCTGTCGCCCCGGGCTTGGCCGTCTCGGTGCTGCCAAACGTCTCGGGTGCAGCTTGCAACTTGTATTGGCGTGAGGACGCTGGGTCAGACTGGCGGCGCCCGGGGTCAGGTCAGGTGACATCCAGCACCGGCGCGGCAACCCCGGCGGGCCAGCGCTGGGGCGCGAGCCGGGCCAGCCAGCCCGTCGGTCCCCGGCTACACTTTTGCACAGGCGACTCATTCCAAACCATCACCGCATTTACATATTAAGTCTGAAAAATTGAGTACAAACCTGAATTGGATGCATCATACCCCGCAAAAACGCTGGCCAAAGATACGGAGAATAATAAGTTGACATTTCAACGCAGAATTACAGCCCTGATTTTTCTCACTGCTCCTTACAAGGCAAACCCTTTGCAACCATTTAAAATGATCTAGGTAGACTGGGCTTAATAAAGTTTAACAGATGATCACGCCGGCAAGCGCAGCATATTTCATTATACCGTTACACTAAAGCAAAGAAAACCGCTACGTCCGGTACACACTTTGTCGGTAGATACCATCGGTAATCACTCTAACGATCGGCACCAGCCGAACGTTTGCATGGTGTCTAAGCAGACTCCGGCACTATAATCTTCTCATCTCAGTATCAATGTCCGGAGGAAGTCGGCGCAGACCGCGGTATCTCGGACTGTGTGACGGGCCAGCGAGAAGACGCGTCTGTCGCCCAGTCCAGCGGCGGCCCGGTCCGGTGCTCACGCTGGCCCAGAGTGGTGTGCACGTCCGCATCCGGCGGCGGTGACCGACGGCAGGGGACCGCACCGCACCGAAGCGGGGCCGCCACCCGCAGCGCCACCTACAGCGGCGGCAGGAACGCCTTGTTGGCGCGCATCGCCAGCTGGTGACGTTGCATATCCATCATGGCGCGCAGCGTGTCCGCGCTCCCAGTAGAGCCCGGCGAGCCCGAGTCGCCAGACGCGGCCGAGTTGTGGGAAAACACTGCCCGGACGGAACGCAAGTGATCAGCGCAAGCAGTCACGCAGGCTTTGGCAGACGGAAAGCCCACGCGAGTTTTGTCTGCGTGGTACGTTTCCAACGTTCGTGTGGGCCGAGATGTTTGCTGTTTCACTTCGTAGGCATTTAAAAAAGCGATGGTGAAGCTTCCTTTTCATATGAGGGGAGGAGGCTTCGCCCCTCCTCCCAACTTAGGATCCAGCCGCGCACAACTTTGGAGGAAAGTGGGCTCAATCCGGGCAGACTCGTTTCTTGACAAATTTTCGGGCAGGCTTCGCCATTTCAATGGCGCCCCACCCCATAGACATGCTGCAAGACTACACATCCGGTGCAAAAGACGGTAGCACTCATAATTCACGGAAGAGTGGCGATGTGATAGACATTGTTGTCATCGCTGCGTCAAATCATCACATCATCGACTCATGCGTACTGCCTGGAATCCCAACAGAAAGAAACGCATGCTCAAACGCAGCGACGTGCTAGGTGCCTTTTTGATTTAATTCGACTAAGTTCGCCGCCAGATGACGCACAAGCCGGGCAGCGGCAAGACGGGGCCACATTCTGGTGCAGAAGTAGCTACGCCCACACGAACACGTTAGACGAACGAGCCCGGTTGAACGGGGTCACTTTCTGGTGCAGAAGTAGCTACGCCCACACGAACACGTCAGACGAACGAGCCCTGTTGGACGGGGTCACTTTCTGGTGCAGAAGTAGCTACACCCCCGCGAACACGGCATCGGCGGCTATACTGAGGCCGAGCGCGCTGAGGGCAGGCCCAGGCTCAGTGCCCGGCCGTACCGGAGTCGCGGCTGTGACGGTGCCGCAGCGGGGTGGGTTTCTTGGCCGCCGCCGGTGGCGGCGGCGGCGGCGGCGGCGGCGGCGGCGGCGGCGGCGGCGGCGGGGACGACTGGGCCCGACCTCCGCTAGAGCGGCGCCGCACCGACTCCGGCGACGGCTGTGGCGTGTCAGAGTCGTCGGCGCCGAAGTCGAATTCGTCCGGCAGCTCGACAGACGCGTTGTCCGCCTTCATGCGTGCCTTGGCCAGCACCTTCTTCAGCTCAACCGAGTTGCTGGTGCTGAACTGTGGGCGCGGCGGCAGCGCACTATCACAAGGTGGCGGCGAACAGCTCGACGGAGCTGGTGGTGCTCGACAGAGGGCGTGGTAGTGGACATCTAACACAATACCTGCGGTCAGTTCGGCAGAATCAGCGCGGCGGGAATCATAAAGGCGTCGTTGGTCAATACTGCAAGAGCCTCGAGCGCTCGAGGATATCGGTGGAACATGGAGCATCCCGACTCGTTCATGAGGATTAAGGACGTTAGGTGCCGCTGGACCATTGTCCGTAAAGATTACACCAAAACATACGAATGCCATGACGCAAGCAACATCATGGTGGTCAACAATGCCTTGAGCCGTTCGAAACGCCTTACCCCGTCCATTTTCTTCTGAACAGTTATTTGCGAGTAGAGCCTTGGCCCTTCCTCCTGACCGAATAGCTTGACCAGCTTGCTTTTCTCCAGCTTAAATAGTTTCTCTCCGTTGGAGTTTTTGAAGGCTGAGCAAACCCTGTGGATGGTTGACGGTTGCAAACAAAACCCAATCGGCCATACTACGCGTTACCCAATCATCTGTCAGGCACGGTGGTAAAATAGTACACTTTGCTATCATTTCAACTTAATCTGCATTCCGATTCATGCACGCAATTTTACCGGCATGATTCAACTACGTTCTTGTATCCTTCTGCTCATTTATGGTCTTATATATTAAGCGTGCACGTTCAGTGTAGAGCTAAAGACAAAATCAGATGTCACATTTTCTCAGTAGCATTGGGTTACCATGCGCTGCAGTAGGGTGAATACGAGAAGCTACTCATAACGAGCTGGATGTGACGGCCCCATTTATGGGTCCGGACGCGCCTACGGATGCAAACAACCGACCGCCTCCATGGGGGAGGGCATTTTGAACCTGATGCGCGCTCAGTCATGTCTGCCTGTACCTCAGGTGGGAGACAATGCCGCACAGCATTTGGTGGCGGGGATATCGAGAATTGAAAAAAAATATTAAACGCAGTTGATGCGATATTACATTCTGCACAAATAAGAGGACGTGTTACCCCTACTCCACCCACCCCCTGGTGACGTCCGTGAGGGCAGCGCAATGCAGGCAGGTTCTGGTTGGCGTCAGTACCGCATGCATAAACAAAAATATGGGCTGATAATGTATGTATGTCTATGCTGTCTTGATATCCTGAGCGTGATGACTTGGGCAGACGAATATCGTGCGGCACAAGATGTCGGACCAGGCGCAGACTCTGGCATGCCGCCTCCTAGTGGCAGTCTCTAGCCTGCGCTGGCATGCGGGCTCGATCCGTGGGGCGCCTTCTGCGCCTTCCCCACGCCTTCCATCGGGTCTATAGAAGAGGCGCCCGGTCGGGCAGCTACACTAACTTGTCAGAGAAGCCCTTGACTTTAAGCCAGTCATAGACGTCGCCCGGCGGCGAGTGCTGGTAGAGGGCTGCATCGGGCGTTTTCATAATGTCCAGCTGGCGGCGGCGAGCCTGGCGCCACGTGCCCAGCACAGACCGGAGCTCCTCGTCAAAGTCGTTCGATTGGCCGCGCGCCGCTGCGAACCGGCCGGCGGCCACGAGTCGGCAGTTAGACGAAATCATCATCTTCATCATCATCAATTACGAATAACACTTATCAACACACGAGCATTGTGTGGAATTCAGCAATACGTAACCCAAGGCTTGTTTGAAAAAGATAAGGCCAGATTGGAAACCGTTTTTTACTGCATACGTTATGACCGTTCTTCTCCTATGTTGATATGTCTGCACGCTTAGGTTTAATATGCACATGCACATCACACAAGCTGGATGTGTCTGGACCATGCAAGCTTCCGCTGGTCCGACTACCACCCATTGCATTTGCATGCAATGCTGCGAGTCAAATGCGTCCGATCAGCCAGGAGAGTTGCGCGCGGCGGCGGCGCCCCCGTCACACCCACCTTTCTGGGGACGCCGCTTGGGTCGGGCCGGCTTCTTGGCCGGCGGGGGCGTGGTGCGGCGGGCCGGCATCGGCGGTGGCGGCGGCGGCGGCGGCGGCGGCGGCGGCACCGGCGCCGCCTCGTCATCGCTGGTGTACGGAGAGTAGGGATCCGTCGCTGCGTCAGGCGCCGGGTCGGCAGGCAAGGTCAGGCTCGGCCACGTGTGTCCGGGTGCGGATCAGCGGAGTGCCCATCACACGACAGCGCCATGGCATATGCATGGAAGTTCATGACAGAAATAGTGTACTCTGACAACTTAGCTAACGTTTGCGTCCAGTCATGATGCATTGGTACTGCTGAGCGATCAACAAACTATGCGCACCATCCAACAATTTATAATTTACCAACTATGTACGCCTGGCAGGCACCATGGCAGCGTGTTCCCTTGGCAACGGACTAGCACTGACAGGTGGGTGCTCTAAGCAGTCAGCAAGCAGCCTACAAACCCAGCGGACTGGTATGGAACAGGACCAGCGCCACGAGCAGCCCCGACGCCTGCAGTGGGCCGCGTGCTACCCTCCCCCTCCCTCCATCTTACCTCTGCTGCAGGACGCAGTAGTACAAACGACGTCTTAAATGGAGTTGCCACGTCTGCCATGGGAGAAATGCTGTGCCCAGCGTGTGCTAACTGCTGACTGCGACATTAGTGCTTTTTTCTGTTCATCGTGCTTGTTGATACTTGACACACTTCTGTGCGCGCACTTACTCGTGATACGCAATGTGTCTAAGGTGACCTTGTTAGGTGACCAAAGGTATGCGAGTGACATGAAACCGTTTGTCACAATTCTGATGAAATGCTTCTAAACTGACGCAAATCAGAAATTATACAGACCCAATCACAACAGGGTGTGTCGCATTGCGAACAAAGCAGGGAACTGCAAGCTCTAATTTAAGCCGCGGGCTGCGGCGGTGACACAGCTTTGTATGCGCTATCGGATTGCAAACCATTGGAACTCAGGTGGCAGCTCATGTTAAAAAGGCGAACGAGGTGACATGGTTAGTAAAGCCATCAATAGATGGCGGCATCCGTCATTTTAACGACGATACCTCAATGTAACATCTCTCATAATGCCTTCACTCCAACAATATGTATTTTGCGACTGGGCTTGTGACGCGAATCGCTGATAAGGTTGCCTTTAAATATCACACGTACATGCATCAATGCAAGGTTTTCGCTTTCCAACTACCTTCGGCCTATTAGAAGCTTGCAATGGCAGATAGCTTGTTCGTGCTCAAAATGCTTGCAACGTTTTTAGAACAGCCTAGGCCTGCAAATACCATCGTAGTTTCTAGCGAATCATTTTCACATGCAAAGCACCACGCTCTAGTGAAGACGGATTTGTGATCTGGCGTTGCTGGTGTTCCCTTGCTACAGCCTCTTATGTGGGTTACAATAAGACTAAAAATGAACTGGAGAGCTTATAGTCGAAGGTATTTGTTCAGGGTTGCCACGCCTGCTTGCTTGAACAAATCCAATATGAATGTATGTCCATTTATAGCGCGTCAGCATGACTCCCATTGCTATTTCGGAACCAGATCTTAAACCCCATGATCAATCAGTCCATGTCCGAAACGATGATTGCTCTAAGATATTGTTTTGCAGCATTCCATGACTCGTACATAACCCAGTTTTGTCTGATACCATTGCAGACCGGCATGTGCGTGTTACGCGTCTACACCTCTACAGTGTGAATTACTCTGACCCTCGACTTTGTCATGAAGGGCGATGGTTGTGGCAAAAGACTTCGTACAGCGATCTGTCGGTCAATGTGCAACACACAGCAAAAAAGGTGAAAGTTTTGACTGATTCTGTCGGCGACCTGGTTTCAAACACCGGGACCGATGAATAAAGCAGTCTCGCCTCAGTGCCACTGACAATGGTGTTTCTGTTAAGGAATCAGTTTTTATTTGTTTCTTGCTGCAAAGCCGTGCCATCAGAACGAAGCGACATACAGGCAGATGCGAACCGAAACGGCACTCACACACAGTAAATATTTTACTTATAAACATCTCGCGGGCCAGCAGTCGGTCTGAAGCACGCTGCCAGCAACGCGCACGACCAAAGGTGCTCACACGAACAAGCGTCCCAAAGCACGTTCCAGACAACGCCGTCCGGACGGAGGGTTGACTGCGACGAGCTCAGTGTGCAGGACACATCAACGAAACATCGCAGAGAGGCTAGCGGTCTCCGCACGCTGGCTATTTTCTGGTCGCCTCGGCAGCAGGGGCGGGGGGGGGGGGGGGGGGTCGTGAGCTAAGCCGGGGTGGGACGCGTCCTGCCGGCGGCACCTGCTGCCGCGGCTTGTACCAGCCCACCACACGGTCAGGGCGCCAGCTGACGTCGTCAGTCACTAGCCCATGGGTGGGATCGCGCCCTGATCCGCTGACCGCCGCACGGTGGCTGCGGGACGGCGCATGGACGGACACAACATGCTGGATGGCCCCGGGTCGGTCGGGCGCGCCGGCGGGTCAGCTTTTATGGGGCGTGTATGGGGCGTGTCAGCGTGTAGCGACACTCAGCTTAACGCGATGCTCAGAACGCGCCACATGCCGGCGCATGCTGAACCGCCTGTTCGGCCCAGGCTAGGGTGCTGGTCGCGACACTAACCAATGACGTAGCTGCACACACCTTGTGCTATGCTCAGGTAGGGCATGGAGTGCGCGTCGCGCACCACTGCTTTACACGGACGCGACGGCCATACTGCGACACCATCGTAAAAGTCAATAATTAGATATTATCAGTCAACTCATATCAAGCCAGCCTCACCAAATGTAGCGTTATGGACTGGAAATATTATTCTGCAGAATACATTCACTTGGCCTGCCTGCAGCCATGCGCACAGTAAAACTAGCTGTTACCGCATCCGCCCTTCAGCAGTGTTCAGGGCACCACTGGGACAGGGTGACCAATCTAGAGCACCAGTCCGCCGGGGGGGGGGGGGGGGGGTATCTGGGACGGCGCCACTGGCCCGGCCCAGCAACCACCTGGGGGTCCCGTGAGCCGACAGGAGCTCCCTGGATCGCCTGCCAGCCCCACGGACCCCACCATGTAGTTTGTGCACCACAGAGCAGCCCAGATCTAGCACCACCCACCTGGAGAACTGATCTCCCTCTGGGAGGGGCCCCACGCGCCGTCCGTGGACGAGTAGCGTCACCCGACGGCGGTCCGCGCGCCATCGCCAGCCCCGACACCTTCCGACCCCCAGACCGGCGTTGGCGGGGCGCCAGCGGACGGACCAGACACGCAGCGGCTGGCCGGCACACGCGTGACGTCACAACACGGCCCCAAGCGGACAGAGCACACTGCACGGAGACGCCACTGGAGGGCGGGTCGCGGCCGGGGGCGCGGCGGTCGCCCCCTATCTACATGTACCGGAATTCACCTTTCTTGTCCTGCTTCTCTCTCTTCACCCAGTCGGCAGAGGCGGCGGGATCCTGGGCATTGGGGGACCAGTGTGAGTACTGGAGAGCATGTGGCTATGGCGCTCAGCACGTTTCACTGCATTTTGAAGACACCGCAAAACGAAACGCGAAACACAATAGTTGTGGAACGAAAATTGATGACGATAAAATCTGGAACGAATGCAACCAAACATCAACGTCTTCGGCCTCGCTTTCATTTGGCCCACATCTGTTCCTCGCCAGCCTCCTACCCTGCTCGTTTGGCGCCGGTTGACCCGCCTCCCGGCAGGACCGCGCCGCTCGCGCCACTCACCGAGTCGTCCGGCCCGACAGGCGTGACGATGGTGTGCGGCACGTGCGCCGTCTGGCCGCGACTGTTGCGCGCTCGCCACCACTTCCGGCTGTCATCGATCACCTGGGGTCGGAGGTCAGCCGCGGCTTAGACGGGACCAGCGCCGGGTCACAGGACTCGCGTCTTCATCTCGCCAAACGCGGCGGTCGACCCAGTGTGATGTAACGCGGTGTGACAGCACAGCCCGACTGTACAACCGGTGACAACAACGTGGGGCAGATCCCGTAGTCGAGACACCAATATCTGTGGTGAAAATCTTGCAGCTAAATCGGTTTAGGGGCCTAGGTCATAAGCTCAACGAACTGACGCAGGACGACAGGTCCGGTCCTGTTTAGAGCCGGCAGCTTGTGCTGCCGGCTCCCCACCGGCCGGAGCGCAGCGGGCGACAGCCCTGCGCCGGCCCGGGGTCGGTCCGCGGAGCTCACCTCCAGGTACTCGCCGCGCGTCACAGTCAGCTCCTTGTCGTTGTTGGCAGTGCGTGGGTAGGTGACCTGCACGATACGGGCGGAGCGCAGCTTCAAGTCATCAAACCAGATCCGCTGCTGCCGGAGGAAGCTGCTGGCGCCCATTGACTCGGCGCTGGCATCACTGCGGGCCCCTTGAGCGCCTCGCTCCGAGGAGGGCGTGCGGGTCCGCTCCCTGCAACCCACGACAGGTCACCGACGGAGTCCGATATACCGGCCCAGTAACAACAGTTCCCTGCAACGGAGGAGAGGTCGCCGACAGTCTGACATATCGACCCAGTAACAACGGCTCCCTGCAACGGAGGAGAGGTCGCCGACAGTCTGACATATCGACCCAGTAACAACGGCTCCCTGCAACGGAGGAGAGGTCACCGACACAGTAACAACAGCTCTCTGCAACGCACGAGAGGTCATAGACAGAGTCCGATATGCCGGCCCAGTAACAACGGCTCCCTGCAACAACGAGAGGTTACCGACAGAGTTTGACATACTGACACAGTAACAACGGTAAGACAGTGACCCACAAGTTGTTATCGTCGGACGTGTGACGAGTGACACAGCAACGACAACTTCCCGTTACACTCTCTTCAAGTTTGAAGTGGCCCCGGTACATCTGTGTGGGTCATTGGTAACATAAAAAACAATGCGTCCCTGAATACATCGCTATCGGAAACGCATTTCGTCTCGGCTGTGTCGATGGCACCTCATCTCTCATTTCGACTACGGCACTGTTATCTCACCTCTCATCTCGACTGTGCCACTGTTGTCTTACCCCTCATCCCGGCTGTGCTGCTGTTCTATTTCCTCTCATCTCGACTGTGCCGATGTGATCTTTCCTGTCATCTCGGCGGTGCCGCTGTCGTCTCACCTCTCATCTCGACTGCGCCGCTGTGATCTTTCCCCTCATCTCGACGGTGCCGCTGTCGTCTCACCCCTCATCCCGGCGGTGCCGCTGTCGTCTCACCTCTCATCTCGGCTGTGCCGCTGTCGTCTCACCTCTCATCCCGGCGGTGTCGCTGTCGTCTCACCTCTCATCCCGGCGGTGTCGCTGTCGTCTCACCTCTCATCACGGCGGTGCCGCTGTCGTCTCACCTCTCATCTCGGCGGTGCCGCTGTCGTCTCACCTCTCATCTCGGCTGTGCCGCTGTCGTCTCACCTCTCATCTCGGCTGTGCCGCTGCTGGCGCCGGTAACCGCCGCGGCTGGACGGCGAGGGCAGGCTGGGCTGGTCCGAGTCGTAGTACGGATCCGAGTTGTAGCGATCATCGCGGAAGGCGTGTTCCCTCCGCTCCGCCTGCGCAGCAGCGGGACGAGCGCGTCAGAGTGGTCACGACAGCGAGCCGCATTGGCTGCTATCCGATTAAGCAAAAATCAGCAGCATTCGCCAGCCACCAAAAACTGGACACCATGCCCCCCGCCCCTGCGGTATTTCTGCGGCTGCGGACATGCATCTCTCTTTATAATCTGATCTGCACTGTCGCAGTGTAACGGACGCTCTTCCTTCCAGGCATAGGAGGCGATGCGGCCGTAGCGTTGCTCCCTGCTCCAGTACTGACCTCCTGTTCGGCGCGGCGGATCTTGTCGGCACGCAACCTCTGGGCCTCGCCGGCGGCGGCGGCGCGCATGGCAGAGCCACCCCGCTCGCGCTCCTCGTGCAAATCCGGTGCCCATCCGTCCATGAATACGGGATTGTACGGCGGTAGGTGGCCCTCCCACTGGTCCCTGCAGCAGGTCAGTGACGGTCAGTGTCTCGGTCAGAGACGCAATGTTACAGGACGGCAAGCGACCCTCGCACTGATCCTCGCCACAGCCAGAGATAGTCAGTGTCTCAGTCAGAGACGCAGTGTCGCAGGACAGCAGGCGACCCTCACACCGATCCCCGCGACAGGCCAGAGACGGTCAGTGTCTCAGTCAAAGACGCGGTGTCGCAGGACAGTAGGCGGCCTTCTTAGTGCAATAGTCTCTACGCAACGTAGTTGGTTTGGAAGTACGGTCGGGTCGCTGCTACAGACTGAAATATAGTTACATACGACACAAGTTCACACAGCACAAGCCCCGATGAACCTTGACAATCGACAGTATGACGACATCCACTTCTTGCTCGACTCGCAACACTGCCATCATTCTGCTGCCGTGTGCTGCGCCCCATCACGGTGTGTGTGTTTATGTGCGGGGAGGGGGCCGCACTGCAGTCGTTGGCTCGACTGACCTGGGCCGGCACCAGGCCTCGCCCAGCGAGTGCCACAGCTCCGATTCCTTGCTGGTCAGACAGTTGACCAGCAGGTCAATGGCGTCGCGGGTGAGCAGCGGCGCCACCACCTCGACCGGCAGGTTGGCGCCGTGGTTGGAGTCGCGCGACGCGTCCACAATCAGCGCCAGCGGCGTGAACAGGAAGTGCACCAGTTCCGGCGCGTTCGGATCGTGGATGTGCGCCTTCAGCTTCGCCTGCAAGATGGCGGCAGCGAGCGCTCCGTCAGAGCGGTCCACGGTGGCGCACAGGGACACGTGTGTGTGTGGGGGGGGGGGGGGGGGATGGGAGGATGGGGAGCATTGTGTTCACATGAGTCTACGACAACTTATGTCTAATAATATATGGTGTCATACAGGCATGACATGAAATACGCGTCATGTTATGTTGCAGACCTCGAGATATATGCGATAAAACATCAAACGTCACAACGCATTATGTATTTGGTTAGTGTTGTCTAACAGCGATTTCCATACTTCACCAACCGATAGTAAACTGAGCTCCAAGTGGACTACAACCGTAACAAGTTTCCAAACAATACAAACGATAGTAACGGAAGCGTTCTGTTTGCTTTAACACATCACCACAGGGCCGTTGTGTCGTTATACGGGTTGGTACATGGCAGCTACCCTCTCGTATTATCTCTGTAGGCGTGCGAGCGTGAACATCTTCATGATTCAGTGCTTCTAACAGTCGAAAGTATAATGTCTTAGCCGCTTACCCAATGATGTCATAAATGCTGCACCATCAGGAGAAAAGCTATTGGGTCACATGGAACCAGGAAGTATCCCACGGGTGAAATGCCAGCAAACTATCGCCACCAGCCACACCTGAACGACCCGCTGACCAGGTGGCTCGACAACCCCTTCACAAAGCCAGAGCTGATGCATACTGACACGGCTCGGTGGCCGCGAGAAAGGCCGAGGGGAGGGGAAGGGAAGCGGCCACTCCCCTGGCGCTCACTCACTGGAACTACGCGCAGTCCAAACGGTGCCGGCGCGGCGTGTGACCGCCTACACACATGCTCAGTCGGGCGAGACGAGGTCTGACCGGATTCTGTGTGGCCTGGTCTGATCCAAGAGCTCTGTGTGACCCGGTCTTATCCAAGAGGTGTGTGTGGCCCGGCCTGACTAGGAAATCCTCGTGACGTGGTTGCAAGGATTGCATGGCCCGCTTGGGTGTGTTAGGATTCAGCATCTCCGGCTCAGTATCGGCCCTTCGTCAGACGCACGAGATCCGCTGCTGATGACCCCTCGTCAGACGCACGAGATCCGCGTCCGGCGGCCCCTCGTCAGACGCATGAGATCTGCTGCTGGTGGCCCCTCGTCAGACGCACGAGATCTGCTGCTGGTGGCCCCTCGTCATACGCACGAGATGCGCTGCTGGTGGCCCCTCGTTAGACGCACGAGATCCGCATCCGGCGGCCCCTCGTCAGACGCATGAGATCTGCTGCTGGTGGCCCCTCATCAGACGCACGAGATCTGCTGCTGGTGGCCCCTCGTCAGACGCACGAGATCCGCGTCCGGCGGCCCCTCGTCAGACGCATGAGATCTGCTACTGGTGGCCCATCGTCAGACGCACGAGATCCGCGTCCGACGGCCCCTCATCAGACGCATTTCATGCGTGTCGAACGAGACGCGCAGCGTGCCCGCGGCCGCGCCTGCGTAGCTTTCGCCGCCCTGTCAGCGCGGCGGCGGGTCGTGCGGCCGACACGCGGCCGGCGGTCAGTGGCGCAGAACCGACCGGTTCGGGAGGTCACGCTGCACCGCCTCATTGGACACCGGGAGGCCGGGTGCGGGCTCGGCCGTCCTCCGCCAGGACGGCACTCCTCAGCTGGTGAGCACTCCAGTTCGCGGTCAACAGACAGGCTTCGGGAAGACAGTCAAGCCGGGCAGGGGAGGGAAGGTTATTTGGCCCAAGCAAGGGAAAATCTGTCAGGGTAAAGTGCGATTTCCCTTACCAGTACGGCTGAGTGTTTGATGCGTCCGTGAAACTTACCAGAAGATTGAAAGAAAGCTTGAATTTCTGCAAAATCTCAACGAAATCCCTGCGCGGTGGGGGTTTGGCTCTCATCGACAGAAGCCCCTCTCCGATTTCCTTCTTCTTCATTTTGCGGCTTCTGAAATGAGAGGTGTATGGTATTAAGGAAACCAAACAGATTAAGAGACGCTCATAGTTCTACCTACTACCTGCGGCTACATAAATGCCACCCAAAACCCAAACGCAATCGGCGCAAAATGACTAACGGTAGGGGAAGCAGCAACACAAGATGCCTGATCATGGAAAGATAACTGACGCAGTGTGTTCAGGCAAAGACCGTCAGCACCAAGTAAAAGACGCACATAACTTCAAAAACCTGCAGGGGAGCGGAGGCACATAATGTCTTTCATAATCCCTCCCCAGTGGACAATAACGGGCAACAAGAGATCAAACTCTGTCATCTGCACCCGCTTTCAGGCGCAACCACATGCTCCCTTGACTGCATCACGACAGCCAGATGGCATAACTCGCCTGCAACGACACCTCATAAAATATACCACGTTACATAACCAGCAGTTCGTGAATATCCGTTTCGCTTTCGCTGAGCCAGCGCAGCATCGGCGGGCCGGAGTTGCACACCCGCTGACGCCGGGCGGCACGAGAGAGCGGCGGTACGTGGCTCCCGTACGGGCTGACTGACCGTGGCAGAGACCCGTGGCCGAGCCGAGCCCCAGCCCGCCCCCAGTCCGCTCCCGGCCGGACCGTGGCCGGCTCCGTCACAAACAGCCCACACGCCGGGCGCGACAAACACGCACGGGTCCTAGCACGCAGCGCCTCTCCACACGCACAGGTGTTATCGCCGGCGTGCGCTGACCGGGCTCACGACAGGCACGCGATGCCCCGCCGCGGCTGCTCGAGCGGCCGTCACCTGCCCCGGCTGCCGCTGGTGGTGGGGCGGCATCCGCCGGCCGCTGGCGCCGGGCTGGCTCTGCAGCGCGCTGGCTCAGCCCCGGGACAACCGGCACGATCAGGCGCCAGCCGAGCGGTGGGCGGGTCGGGCGCGAGGTACCGCCGATGCTCGGCTCTCGGCGGCACCGGTGCAGCTAGAGTGCAGGCCGCCCCCTCCCCAGTGCGTCCCAAGCCCGGCAACAGCGGCGCGCCGATCGTTTCAAATCAATTTAAGCGATCAGCCCGAGCCTAAACACGGGGCGCTTCCCACCATTTCACCCAGAGAGCGCTTGGTCATCATTTGTGTCACTCGCCTGAGTAGTTCTCTCGCCAGAGCTGCGCTTTGAGCAGCGGCTTTTCCCAGCCGGCGGAGCCGCCTACTTAACCGACCACTGTTCAGGTACTCACACGCGGCGCATCCAAAAGGTATAGATACACACTTGTGGTGGCTCACTACCTAAATGTACTTAACCGAGTAAACAGAAAAACCAAATACACTCACGGCTTTCCAGGGACAGATGCTGACTACGGAACTTAGCCAGCTCTCCGACGACATTAAGTCGGCGGAGCACCTATAGTTACATCTCTACTCACTTGCGACGCTTCTCCAGCTCGTGGGCGGCCACCGCGGCGTGCTGCAGGCGCGCGATGAACTTCTCGATGTCGTCGAAGCAGTGATTGAGCACGGACACGTCGCGCTCGTACTTCTCGGAGGAGGTGGATGAGACGTCGTCGGTGTTGACATCGCTGCCGGCGCGCTCTCGCTCGCGCGAGCTGTGGCGCGAGCTCTCGAAATCTGCCGAGAGACGCGCACCACGTGTGGCGGTCAAGCCTCGGTCGGGCTCGGCCACAGACCAGGCATGGGCCGTGCCCGGACGGCGCAGACAGCCCTTTGAGCGCGCTCGGCATTGCAGGTACGGTGTGAAGATGATCGGAATGAGTGGGTCCAATGGTTCGACATTATCCGTCAGTGAGGTCATTGTCAGTTAATGGCTAACGTGCCGGGCGGTGCGGTTCAAAAGTGCGGTCAGTACTCGAGATAGCTGGCTTTGATACCACCGACACAGCCTTATTCGAACCCTTCCAACTCAATGTCGTGGTGTCTCCAGTCCAAATAGCACCCCATCTCGGTCTCTCAAAGCTTCATGACACCGCCTGTCGCTTAGTAAACAGCGGCAGCAAACCCAGTCCGCGGCTGGCTCTCTAACCCAGCGACCGCGCCGGCCGTTCCGGTGCGTCCAGCCAGTGCATGCACGCAAATCGAGTGAGCATGCATTTGGTTGGCATTTAGAAACCGGGAGTCGGCCTTCCCATGCCGGCCAGGCGTGGCGTAATGCGTCGGCGCCGCTCAGACGTGCGATGCTTGTCGCAACTGCCCGCCGTGAGCCGCAAGAGCCTGGCGAGCTCTACCCAGGCGCGCGACGTCCGCCTAATTATACTCTACAGAAGCGGCGCGCTCTCGAGCGCACGTCTGGCCGGCCGCGGGCCGGAAGCGGGCGCCGTTCTGCGGCGAGCGCTCGCCGCTCCGGCCAGCTGCCGGTCCCCCGCCAGCGGCCCGGCGGTCCGGCGGTCCGGCGGTCCGGCGGTCCGGCGGAGCGTCCCCGCAGCGGCAAGGCCGTCGCTGCCACTCTCTGACCGGCTCTTGACTGTGAGGACTGAGCCATTCAGTCTGGCAATCAGGCACCAGTCAGCCAGCCAATCACCCGTCACAAGCACCCCGGCCGAGCGCGGGACACGACAGACATGGCGCGGACACATCTTGCAGGGGTCAATGTACTTGAAACCAAAAGAAAAAAGGTGCGAAAGGATCTTACAGTAGTAAGCATATTTCGTGCCGGAAAAGTTGCTGACGGATCTCGCAGGAGGTTCTAGACAAATTTCTTCAGCGCACAATGATTCCGAGCGAGCACACAGGTTGTGCGTAATTTTGTCATCCTAACGTCAACTAACCAAAAAGTACACCTCGAAAGTCCCGGGTCGGCCCAGACCAGTCAGTCACGCTTTTCATTGGCGTGTACCTTTGGAACCACTGACTGCCTCGCCATGAACTTTTCACAAGTAGGGCAGTCAAATATAAAACACAGCCTTACACAGGCAACTTCTTTCTTGCGTAAGGCTGTGTTTTGGCTGTGTAAGGCGTAAGGCATGGGTTTGTCCGTTCCCGAGTTTGAACGATTACAATGATCTTTATACGTTCTCAATACGTCGACACACAACGCAGTCCAAGACCAAAATAATCTTACGATCGCACAAGCACAGGATGAAACATGGGCTTGTTGCCATGGCAGCCGGGGATTGATATCGTGGCGATAACCCGACTTTCCGTGCGGCCCGAGTCGCTACAAGCCCAAAAGCGCTACACTTACTCGTGGAATACGAAACGCTCTATTCATAGATATATAATTCCACAACAGCAGGGGTTTAGGTTTTTATTTAATTGGGAAGCCTCCAGCCATCACCAACTGAACAGAAGACAGTGTCTCAAATTCGAGGAGCGCCGCGGCTTGGTGCATTTTGAGGGTAACATCACTGCACCTTCACCTGCGTAACTCGTGGTATGGATATATTCCAAAGCATTGGGAAGTCCTTTTCGTGTGGGCCGCTACACGCTCCGTGCTCCAATCCCCTATGCTTCGGCATCATCTGCACGGTGATGCCAATGGCCTTGCTCGTCCCACGCAGAAAAAGGCAAGCAGGAAAAGGCCAAAAGCAAAGGGCAAAAGGGCAAAAAGCAGGGGAAAAGGCATAAAAAGGCAAAAGGAAAAGGCAAAAAGTCAAGGCACTTAGTGATATACATCTAGAGGTGAACACTGGGTTACCGGCAACATTTTACTTTACGAACTCACGAGATCCAAACAGAGAACCAAACCTCGATGTTAGGATGCCCCATACGAAAGATACCAATCGTGATTATTCACATACCACACGAGAAGGCTCATCACCAACCCAGCCAGCTGACCGCAGCGAATGTGATGCGTGATTCCTGGACACAGTAGCCAGATGTCTTTCGCCACGTTTTTCAGAGTCGGCATGCACGATTCCGTCGCCGCACACTCGACCTGCGGTGGTCGGAAACCGGCGGCAGCAATGGCGGCATGCTGCCTCTCGGGTGTCGGCCGTGGAGGGTCCGCCACCTCCCGGTCGGTGATGGGGCGCCACCCTCGGCCAGTGGTGAAGGGCCGTGCCTCGGCTGGTGGCGGGCTGCCATCTCTCGGGCGCCGGCTAGCGATGGGTGCTGCGTCTCAGCACGTCGCCTGTCAGCCAGTGGCGGGGTGTGGCCGCTCGAGGCGGCGGCTCCGGCGGCCGCCCGGACCGGGTCAGCGCTCTCTGAGTCTCATCACCGGCCGGGAGCCGACGGACGCTCCCAGAACGGCGCTCCGGCGGTTGCTGATTTACGGCATGCGGCCGGCCGGGCGTGACTCGCCGCCACGGCGGTCGACCGAGCCGCGCACTGGCGGTACGGGGCGCCCGGGCCCGCCGGCGGTACGGGACGCTCGAGGCCGACTGACAACACACATAGCCGGCTGCCTGGACCACCTCAGCACCCAGCACCCATCTCAGTCACCGAGGAGCGAGAGGAGCGGCCGCGTCCTGACCCGACCCGCGCCACAGCTGTCCGTGGCGGCGAGCGCTGCCGACAGTGGCTTCCCCACTCACATCACCCGCTCACTGTGGAGGCCGGCAGCAGGGACCATGTGGATCGCAGGCTCACATCACACCCGACAGGCGCCCGACAGGCGTGATGCATCACGGCTGAGCCCCTCACCTGGCCCACTTCAGCGTGGCGCGCTCACACACAGCTCCCCTGTGTGTGCTGCATGGACAGGGGCAATGGAAAGACGGGTCATTTCTCCGTGGGAAAATGATGACGTCAGCGCGGTCACGCGGAAACAGCGCCGGTAGCCTCGTACCACCTTTCACATTCGGTGCTCCGCTTGGATGCTCCAATAAAACTTTCAAGCGAATGGAGTTGTAGAGACTCTCACATTCGTTTATTGCATGCCAGTTGTAAGCGTAAATATCACTTTTCATCCGTGAACCAATAATGTACAGGGATGCATTACATTGTAAAAGCCTCCGGCTATCGCAAATGCTTAATCACGCATATCTCCGATTGCCTGAAGGTAACGCATTGCGGCAGGTAAAACAGCGCTCGAGTTGTGAAACACCAGCTGCCTCAGCACTACATTCCAGGCACTTTGATATCCATTTCAATATTGATTGTCGTTTTTTCCCCGAACACTCGGGTTCGGCGTGGGGCCGGCCCGGCCAGCAGCCGCGCGCCCTGTTATCGTGACGCGGCGCCTGCAAATTGCCCGTCACGCCACGTGCACCCCTATTGCCGACACGAGCCACTCGGCTTCCAGTTCGCGCGGCAGAATAGCGTGTTTTCACAAACGAACAGAATCCATCCGGCGCAGCGCCACTGTATTGGCATCAAAGGATGGGCGCCCGGCTCCGGCCTTGGCCCGTGCCTGACGCCGTGACGACTGACGAGCCACCGCCGCCGCTGCATGGTGCACGCGCCGCCCACGGAGGCTTCACTGGCGCACAGGAAGCCACCAACATCGACCCATGTACAGACCGCCATCCAACAGGTACAGCGTGCCACAGGGGCCAGCCATGATCCGTCTCTGCGTGGAACACACCCGACATGTGGGCTTCCCAACAAGGTCAACATCTACATGGACCGTGTCTGATGTAAGGAACGCCACCACAAATAGTGCAGGGCGCGCCCCCGCACGACTAATGGACTTGATAGGACGCCGGAACAAGGAAAGGCGATGTCGGCATGGCCGCCACCTGCACCGGGATCGGAGTTCGATAACTCTGCCGTGTGATACAGGGGCCCAAGCCCGATAACTCCCAGCCGCCCAGGGATACAGGGGTCAGGGACCCAAACCGCACAGGGATACAGGGGTCAGGGACCCGAACCGCCCAGGGATACAGGGATCAGGGACTCGAACCGCCCAGGGATACAGGGGTCAGGGACTCGAACCGCCCAGGGATACAGAGGTCAGGGACCCGAACCGCACAGGGTTACAGAGGTCAGGGACCCGAACCGCACAGGGATACAGGGGTCAGGGACCCGAACCGCCCAGGGATACAGGGGTCAGGGACCCGAACCGCACAGGGATACAGGGATCAGGGACTCGAACCGCCCAGGGATACAGGGGTCAGGGACTCGAACCGCCCAGGGATTCATAGGTCAGGGACCCGAACCGCACAGGGATACAGGGATCAGGGACTCGAACCGCCCAGGGATACAGGGATCACGGATCCCAGCCGGACATGGCCGGAGTATCACATCACAGGCGGCTCCTCATGTATGGTGGCCGCACTGTGCGCCGCCAGCCAGGGAGCGGTCTGGTGCCTTCACGTGCCCCCGGTGCCTGCTACACTACGGTATGTGCCGTCACTTACCCTCCAGTGCCCTCTCCCATACCACAGTCTAGTGCCGTCACGTGCCCTCCGGTGCCCCCCCCCCCCCCCCCCCAGTCTGGCGCCGTAACGTACCCCTGGTGCCTGCTACACTACGGTCTGGTGCCGTCACGTACCCTCCGGTGCCCTCCCCACACCACAGTCTGGTGCCGTCACGTGTCCTCCGGTGCCCCCACACCCCATGGCCTGGTGCCGTCACGTGCCCCCCGGTGCCCGTCACACCACGCGGACACACCGAGGGCACTTGCAGCACGTCAGGGATCACCAGACCGGCCGCCATCGGCGGCAGCTGCAGCTCACCAGCAGCACACATCGCCAGTAGCGGCAGACCGCGGAGGGTCAGCGAGAGCGGGCGTGAGCGGCGGACTGCGGCCTGGCTTTGGGAGCAGCGCGGACGGGAGAACTGCACTGAATATGCATACCAAGGCGTGCATAACTTCCGCCCATGAGGAACTTGGCCTCAGAAGACGACCACCCCATCAAACGGCGCCGACCACGTGCACATCAAGTCACGAGGCGCCCTGGTCGCACTCTCCCACACATTCAGACATTGTAATAATACAACTGCAGGGCGCGTGCGATATATGGGGAGATCAAACCAGCATCTAAACAGCCAGGGCGACCCGAGAAAAATTACACTTTCTCTCAGTTTGCATGCAACATTGATGCGCGCTTGCAGATGAAGGCTCACACTGCAGTCATTAGCTCTCGTGCGTGCCCTTACGTAAATGCAAAGAGGAACGGAATTGAAAGAGGCGACTCGGGTGACCGATCTGCCTATCTTGCTTAAGAAGGGAGTTGGCATATTAGTTGGATAATTTCACTACTACACTTCACCGTGGCTATGTGGACGTCCCGTTTTCTCCGTCCCGTCCTAACAGGTCTTGAGCGTGCTGCTGTAGATGCATCATTACATGCATGGCATGATGTGCATTGCATGATTACATGCATTGCATTGCATGATTACATGTCATGTCATTACATGGCATGCATTGCATGACTACATGCATTGCATGCATTGCATTGCATGATGCATGCATTACATGGCACACTGCTCACCGCGGGAATCTCTCGGCTGGTTTCGACGGAAATCCACCCCAGGGATGGACCGTTACTCCAGGCGCGTCTATGCCCTGGTGGGTCTGGCAAAAGCCAAGTAAAGAGATCCAAACCACAGCCTGAAGTTATACACAAATGAGTGAAAAGCTATCCCAGAGTTGGTCGACGTATCTTTGCGTAGCCATTGCTCATCCTGCTTCGATTCCCGGCTTTGACCCTGACTGCACCTGATACTGGGGCCGGTCCTATCGCGCGGCGTTCGATCCTATCTATATGGAGGGATTATTGCATAGCGAACCGCCAGATAATCGAATCTTGGATAGAATTGTAAAGATAGTCATTGCGTTGTGTGTGCCGTATGCGCGACGCATCTGGAACACACAGCCCAATAGTATTTCGCTGTAAAGGGGCCTACAGACTTGCCACCAACAGGTGGTAAAGACCCGTAGGTGGATCTCCTTTTCCAAAACCGATGTTTACTTTGCTAAGCAGGGCGTAGTGATTGATGAAAATCCGTCGCCAGAGGGTAATTCATGCGCGTGTTGTGACAAAGACCAAAATGGTGGATCAGTGATATATTATTACCCACAGAGCTGAGGTCTGTTTCGGGCCCTTTTAGTTCGGGTTGAAACTTAACTTGTTTTGGAAGTCTAATACTGAAACCAAGCCCAGGTTTCTAAACTGTTTTAGTCAGTCTATTTACTTCCATTTATATTTGACCTGGGTCCAAATCTAACGCCACAGTTTTCGGTCGGTGAGCCTGATTCTGAGGCCAACTGTTGCGTTAGATAGACCTGAAAATGTGGGTCCTAAAAGGACATGAAGCTCAACTCAAGTCCGAGCTCAGCATTCAGGTCTTACCCTTGCAACCGTCGTCTGCATGACAAAGTGAGGAATACAGCCATCTGCTGAAGCATGTGGTTTTCGCTCTTCTCCGGCCTCCAACAATGTCAATCCCACTGCTGGTGACCCAAGCAGAATAAATATTTCGCAAAATATCCGAAATCATGAGGATTGCAATCGCGGCAATTTATCCTTGCCAGAGCTTTTAGGAAGGTCAACAAGAAGCGTCCAATTCGCAACGTGCTCATGCACTCTCACGTTCCGCTCACTCGCACAGTGGCAATGGTTTCCCGACAAGCGGGGGAATGCCCCATTCACGTTGGTATGGACAGGCCATGACAGCGCGGCCGTTGAGTTGACGCCTTACCGTCATCGTGCCAGGCCCAGTAGTTGTCCCGCTGGAGCCGGTGAGCCATGACGGTGAGCACGGACATGGTGCGCTCTCAGAAGCTGGGGCGCACCCCCGCTCAGTCGCGCCGCCTGGCGGTCCCTGCTCAGAGTGAGGCGGTCCTCCGGCGTCGTCCGCCGCCTTCTCCGCGTCGACTGTGCCGGCCGAGCGTCGTCCACCGCACGTCAGTGCCGTGAGAGCCGCGCACTGCCGCCTTCCAGCGTCCGCCACGGCCACCCGCCGACTGTCGGCACGCGGCGCGTGTCGGGCGGACGGCGCGCTCGCCGGCGCCGGCGGCGGCGGCCGCGCCACGCTGGGCGCGCGCCCGTGACCGAGCGGCGCCAATTGGCCGTGATTGGCCGGCTCCTCTGCGCCGCGTGACGTCACGTCGTGACCGGCCGGCCCGGAAGTGGCGGCGGCCGCCGCTCGGACGGCGGCGCGATCACTTTCGATCTCGACCGGCGCCGTCAGTAGCTCGCTCCGATCTGCATATGAACGGGCCGGCATCCGGTGCTGGCGCCGGCCGCAGCCCGCCGTCGCCCGCTGTCCGCTCTATTATCCGCATTGTGCGCGGCGTCGGACTCGAGACCACGTGCTGTCCACTGCTCAATGGGCCGGGCCAGCGTACGGGCCGAGCAGCCGGTGGCACGCGGCCGGCCTTCGGCGTCCGCCGGCCGGCCGCGCGCGACAGGTGTCGGCCGGCGGCCCGGCCTGTTCGCCCCATCATCCCGTGACACCCACGACACAGACTGTGGCGGGAAGCAGTGGTGTCCGATGCTCGTCGCCTGACGACGGCTGCGTGGAGCCGCCCATACCCAGCACGCTGCACGGCTGGTAGACGGCCGGGCCGGGCCGGGCCGGGCCGCCGATTAAGACGTATCCGACGCGCTGGGATATGGGTCGTGTGCGCGCGCACCGCCAAGGTCTCGCCGCGCCGCGACCCCGGGTCAGCCGGACTCCCACGACCCGCCGTGGCAAGGCCGGGCCGCGGTGAAAGGATGAGAACGAGACGATCCTGCCGCGGTGAGCCGCCGACGCCGAAGTCCCGATCCCGCCGGCGTCGTCGGCCCGCGCCGCAGAATAGCAGGATGCCGGCCAGGCCGTGCCGTCGGACCGCCCCCGGCTTCACGTCGGAACGCGTCGGCCGAGTGATGTTTCAGTCGGGTTCGGCCACATTCAACTCGGCAGAGACGCGAACGTCCCCTCGGGACCGGCGCGCCGTCAGCCTACCATTCTTCGGCGGGCGAGCCACCCCAGGCTGGCAGCAGACAGTGGAGGCCGCCAGCCGGAAGCGAACGGCCCAGAAGAGGACACGCATGGCCCATAATTTAAATACGCGCCGGTCACTTGGCTGACGGCCGTGACCGATGGCTTGCCTAATGATGACAAACTGAGGAAAATCAGGCGGAATGCGTCCCGCCAAGATTATACTAACAAAAAACCTGTGCGACGTTTCGAACGCATTTGCCAGCAACAGTGGGGATGGGGTGGTATGAGGGACGGGATGGACTTTAGTGAGATTTAATTCAACGTCGTACCACATCTTGTTTGAAGGCAGTAAGTGAAAACAAGTTACTGATACCTAGGTACGTAAGCAAGTTACTGAGACCAAGCGACTGATGGATGTTACGCTGCTTTTCTGTGCAGGCCAGCCGTGCTGTCCATGGGTGGAATGGGGTACGCTTAATGATCTCGCTTCGCCCGCGGATAATCGGACCATCGATTGCTGGCTTTATCCTGCAGCTTCGCGGGACACCCAGCACGTGCCCGGGCGTGTCACTGGTGATGGGGCTCCACATCATAACGGACGACTGGCTCCAGATCAGGGGTCACGTGACGTTGTCTAATGAGAGGCACCCACGTCACTGGGCGTTGCACAGCGACACCTGTATCGTCATTCACGCCATGTCTGGCCAGGACGCAGCGCCATCTGGTCGGATGTGCCTACACCGTGGCCCGCTCTGAGCGGTTCGGGTCTCACGTACCCAAGCCGTGATTGAGGCATTAACGCTAAGACCTGGAGTTGAAACAGTGTCATCTTTTCTCACTGAGAGCCTGAAAGCTTACTGAGAACTGAGGAAGTCATGCGGAAAAATCCGAGGTACTCAACGCCACGACTGAACGCTCAGCAACGCCGTCTGGAGTCTGGTCACAAGTACTTACGTTGTGACTGAGTGTACAACTGTACCGTCTTGTCAGAAGTACTCGCGCCGCGACTGAGCGTGGCACAGCGCCATCTGGTCTGCAGTACTCACGTCATGACTGAGCGCTGAACAGCGCCATCTGGTCTGCAGTACTCACGTCATGACTGAGCGTTGAACAGCGCCATTTGGTCTGCAGTACTCACGTCATGGCTGAGCGTTGAACAGCGCCACCTGGTCTGCAGTACTCACGTCGTGACTGAGCGTTGAACAGCGCCATCTGGTCGCGCCGGTGGACGCCGTTCGGCGGCTCCGGCGGAGGGCTGCTGGGTGGCGGCGGCAGACGCTGAGGTCGCACCAGCTTCCCGGACAGATAAGCCTTCATCTCTTCTACCAGCTGCTGCGCACTGACCCGCAGACACTGCCCGACAGTGCGGAGTGTCACACGACACAGCAGCACATGGCACAGAGCGGCATGAGACACAGAACGGCACACGACACAGAACGGCGCAAGACACAGCACCATGCGACACAGAACGGCACACGACACAGAGCGGCACACAGCACAGAACGGCACATAACACAGCGTGGCATGCGACACAGAGCGGCATACGACACAGCATGTCATACAGCACAGCACACGACACAGCGCACCTCACGACACAGCACCTCACATGGCACAGCACACCACAAGACACAGCATGCCACACAGTACGGAATGTCCTACAGCACGGCACAGCTCAGTCCATCACACGGCACGGTGCGACGTGCGACACAACACATCTCACAGAATAGCACGTCCCACGAAAGACCACGTCCAGCGGCGCAGCGTGTCACACGACCCAAGACGCGCACGACACAGCACATAAGCTACAGCAATCAGGTCATACCACATGAATGCGGCCATTCTTAGACCTTCGTCGGTAGGTTCATCGTCAGCCACAGAGCGGTGGTCACAGGACGCACTAAGGCATATACGGTCATGCACATATATCGAGATCAAACGTCCGGCATTTTGTATAACATGGTGGACACCGGTACCGAAGTAGAAGAACCACGTCAGTTTGTCGATGCTGATGACACACTTGATGCAGATATGTGCAGCTTGGTAGGTGCATGACCGGTTTCCGTGGTTGTTCTTGAGGCCAACGTGAGATAGATCCCAAGATATGCATGTACTGCGCTTGGTGTTTTGATGGTTGCAAGAGAGAGCCCTGGACACAATATCTGGCACTCTGTTGGCCAGGGTTCCGTGTAAAATGTAAATATGGAAAAGGTTAATTCATGTATACGCATTAAGCAGCTCTCACGGTCGCAGAACAGGTGAGGCATGGTCAGAGTTACGTCGCTTGGAGATCACCCTAGATCTAGAGTTAGACAGTTCCTGCAATCTGGCAACAGCCAGGCGGCTCGCCCTCACATATATTTGAGTGCGTCAAGTGACATGAGAGAACACAAGGGCGTCAACGATGCGTGGTGGAACAATGGAAGTCAACACGTGTTGAGTTTTTACGAGAGCGATAAGGATGCCAAGGCAACAGCCACTGACCAGAGGCTTATGTACAGGTCTCAAACAACACAGCATCCATAAGCAAACCTAGATTTTTCACACTTCATGAGCATCAAGGTGGCTTATCCACAAACAGGACGGTAGGGCTCTCTCAGATCCGGCCGGGCTGGCGCCTGTCTCTACAAAGAAAAGGTGGTCTCACCAGCGTTGACCATCACGACACGAATATATTCCACGACACGACACGTTCCACGCACGCAAGGTCACTGGCCTCGTGACCTTGTGTCTCTCGTGACACGAGGAACGACACATCACACGGCAGAGCACGTCACATGACGCAACACGTCATATTACAGGACAGAAAACGACATGATACGACCAGTGAAATCATACAAAAAAGTGCAGTAATGTGCCAAATGACACATCAGGCCACATGGCTCGGCCTATCACACGACACCACAGGCCACATGGCTCGGCCTGTCACAAGACACAACAGGCCACATGGCTCAGACTGTCACACGACACGACGGGCCACATGGCTCAGCCTGTCACACGACACCACAGGCCACATGGCTCAGCCTGTCACACGACACAATTCGCTGATATGTTCTTCAACAGAGCACACCATCGTGTCCCAAGCCCACAGCAGAACACGTCGCCACGCCTACAGCAGAACACGTCACCAGCCCCGCAGCAGAACATGTCGCCACGCCCACAGCAGAACACGTCACCAGCCCCGCAGCAGAAAACGTCACCAGCCCCGCGGCAGAAAAAGTCGACATGCCTACAGAAAAACGCGTCCCCAGGTCCTCAATCCGTAACGCATCAGCAGGTTATTAGCAGGACACGCCGCTTGATATACTTGCCCGCCAATGCAGCTATGTCTCATGGGACAACAGGTTGTAATGCGGGCGATGCGTGGCACGCAGCTGGGCCGCGTGGCACGCCTCGCCACACTATGCTGCCGTGCCAAACCCGCATATTTGCCTGGTATCGTGAGGAGTGGCCTGGTGCAAAACTTTAAAAAGATGCTATTGTTCAGGCTCATCAGATTTCATTACTTTGGCCCTGAAATGTCCCAGCCTTGAAGCACTTTTACAGACGTTGGAGGTGTATGGTGCCCCGCCAATAGTATGCGCACTGCCGAACTACCAGCACTCCAACCATCGGCCAACACGGGCCAATAAGGACCTTGGCCGAGGATGTGCATGCGTACCTGGAAGATGTGCATTTCGGGTGGGTTCATCGAGTGTCTGGTGGGGTCCTCGGTGATGATGAAGATGAAGATGTTGTTGTAGAGCTCCTTGGGGTCGTTGGAGGTGAAGGCGGTCGGCTCGCGAATCAGCTGCATCGGGAACCGCTCCACCAGATCCTGCCGGCCGGCCGGCCGGGTCAGCCAATCGGCCCCGTGCTCGGGCCGCGTCAGCATGGCGATGCCACAGCCGGCGCCTGCCTCTCACCCTGACAGGAAGGATGGGCACCGCGGGGAATCGAACCCCGTACCTAGGCACCGTAGGGAATCGAATCTCGTACCTGGGCACCGTGGGGAATCAAACCTCGTACCTGGGCACCGCGGGGAATCAAACCCCGTACCTGGATACCGCGGGGAATCATACCCCGACGATAGTGCAGTGGTTAACGCGTCCGCGCTAACCGCTGCACTATCGGCACCCGTCAATCATTGCCGAACTTTGTGCGAGCTTGATACCCGTCAGTGCGACAGAGATCGCTCGGCGCCTGCTCCATGCCGGCGCGGCACCTGCGCCACGCTCTGACATGCGGGCGTGTTCAGATAAGATACGGACCAGCTTTTTAGGGCTGGTGCCTTTACATCCAGCCGGCGGCAGAATGCGGATGTTCGGCTATCAGAGGCCCGCCAGAGAGGCGCTGAGGTCACAGTGCGTCGCGACTGCGGGCCTGATATCGCAGTGTATCACAGCGATTGCGGACTCCCGGCTCAAGACTGGCTTAACAAACCCAGTTTGAGACAGCTGTCCCGACAGCGACACAGCCAGCTGCTTGGCACATAAGAGCCACGCCATGCAGCATCGGAGCCGGATCTGGCAACTAGATCTGGTGTTTGGGACCAATTGTACGCTCAAATGGGCAGCGATACTGCGCAACGGTGATGGCCCGACGCACGGTGTGTGACACTGCCACAATGTGGCGCATGTGCAGCCAAAGCAACTAAAGACGGCTAGCTTGCACTATCAGCTACTCTGTGTTTCTGAGCTGACCGATAAGCAGCGTCATGCGCGCATTCTCAAGGCTTTAACGGAGCTCTTTGTGTAAGCCTGGCGCCGGCGCAGCGTCAGACCATCCCGCTTGTCTCTGAGCACAGGTAGTCTCGGACCCAGGCTCTGTTGTGAAGGGAGACTCGGTTATGCTGCGAATAGGGCAGTGTGGTATGTAGTGCCTGATATAATATTCTCTGACGTTCTGGGTCTTATTATGTGTGATAAACCCGGATGACTGCATCAATTTGGTTGGGTAACGCTACATTTACCATCGGCTAAAGCTTAGCAAATCCTGATAGCACATGCCTATATTTTTTTATAACCGCTGCAATGCTGAGCAGGTAGAACAAGTAAGAACGTGGTTATTTTAAGGTTAGGTGCATGTGTGTGTGTGTGTTTAAGGTGTGCATCAGGTGCATGTGTACTTGTGACTCCAGGCTACAGCATGCAATGATTAGATGTGGTGCTCAATTGAGCATGAAAAATGGAAAGCGCTCGAAGCATATACTTAACAGCACGGTTCTCGAAAGGTATTTCAGTTCAGTGGGTGATCTCCAAGAGGAGGCCCATTTCTTAATTCGATGCGTGGGTTCATTTCGTGCGGAGTTCTCATTGTCTTTCCAAAGCCCCTGCATCTCATCTGAATCGGCCAGAGCGTTGCGCTGCGCCAGCTCGGCTCTGCGCTGCGCCAGCCCGACGCTGCACTGCACCAATCGGCTGCAGCGGCGCGCCCGCGAGCACGCTACACCCACACCACGCTACGGAACACGAACCGGCCCCGCAGTTGCCCCCCCCCCCCCCCCCCCAACACCTCCACACGGCAGTGGCATTGTTATGCCGCTTACAGAGGGGATCTCGGCGTGCAGTGAGCTCAGTGAGATCAAACGTTTAGGGACTTGCATGACATGCGGATTAACCAATGAGCTGAAGCTGCTTTGCGCCGAAAGGCGCTGTTTTCGGGTTGGCACAGTGCGACGAAAGACAGGGAGAATATGTTCACATCTGTTTGAGATCGGAGCGAATTCTAAGCCGTTCTGTGCACCACCCTGGGCGCTACAGGCTGGGCACGTGAGATCCAAACGATGCAGGGCCATTTATCTCCTAGTTCGGTGCCCTCCCAGCGCTACATCGCATGTGTGCATTGTCATGCCACGTCAGTCATGCTTTATTGCATCTGATCTGTTGGGCGACGTCGCCGCTTCTCGATCAGTGGCGACACAAGCAGTCAATGCCCGAAGAGCGTACCCCGTTCTCGTGGTCGACAATGACCACCGACTGGTTGCGCAGACGCAGCTCCATCTTCTGCGTCCAGATGCCGGTGGTCTTCTCCATCTGGAGGAGGCGCCGCATGCCGTCGCGCGGCCCCAGAGTGCCCATATCCGAGGACACGGTGAACGTGGCCAGATGCTCCAGCAGGTACACGGCGCCCTGGTCGTCCGGCGACTCTGCCGGACCGGACAGCGGCACCGGTCAGACGACGGCTTACCGGCCGGCGGCCGCGTGGGAGAGCAGGCTCGCCCCACACAGGGCCGAAGTGGAAGCAAACATCCTATACTAGCCCGAAACATGCTGGGGCACCTCACATGTTCGGGGACACAATAGCATCTTATGCCGACCCGGGACACCTAGGACCATCTCACGCATGTCAGGGAGACATAGAACCATCTCACACATGTCCAGGATGCTCCAAAACACCGCTCACCGACCCGTGCTGGGCAGGGAAACGTCACGCACGCCCCCTGTGTTCGAGACAGGCAGGAACATCTTTCGCTTGTTTGGGACAGCTCCAGCTCATCATGTATGCATATCTCACCTAATTGCGAAGATACAGGAATGCCTCGCTTATGTGTATGACAGGCCAGAGCACCTTACACAGGCCCGGACTCACAGGAGCACCTCACAGGTCAGGACACACAGGTATGTCTAACGCAGGTCACGGACAGACAGGAACGCCTCACACTGCCCCGGTCCGGGGCATTCATGGCCAAGCTAATACACGGTGGGGTAAATACAGGGGACCGGACGTCGTGTACACATCAACCGACAAGAGAACAGCAACAGATGTGACATCCATTTCGCTGGCATAACAGTTGCCAGCAGGCCCAACATAAGTGGACAGGTGTTCCATGGTGTTCAGAGCAAAACACAGACACAATACGATTGAAGTTTTCAGCTGGTAGTGCATTTTCTTTAAAGGAAGGAAGTCCTCGTAAAAGATGGCCAGTGCGATACGAACAGACTGTTTATCGCTGATCTGCCTAACAATGGACGGGGTGCATGTGAGTTTTGGAGAATCAAAGGAAAGATTACAAGCAGAGCAGATTATGACCACAACGCTACCACTTCTGTGCCAGCCACGAGAACACCATTAGCGCCTAATGCACCGTCTCGCAGCCGGTGACGTCACGATCTCACAGACGGTGACGTCACGGTCTGACGGACGCTAGGCCGACTGCCGGGCAGATGGCGCCCGGGCTCCACTGGCCGTGCGCTGCGTCAGCGCCGCGACCAGGGCCTTCACAGTCCTGCTCTGGCCCGCGTCAGCCCGCAGCCATGCGGCAGCTGATCGCCACAGCCCGGCCGTAGTTGCAGCCCTGTGCTGCGATTGGCCGGCGTCGGCCGGCGTGCGCTGACTGTACGCCAGGCAAGAGCCGAGCATGGCGCCGAATGCCCCTCCCGCTGGCGATGGAGAGGAGTCTGCCCACGGCTGCATGTGAACCCCGAATCATAGGCCAGTGGCCTGTGCTAGCGGCCGGGTGGTGAGGCTGCAGCGGCGCCGAATGCCCCTCCCGCTGGCGATGGAGAGGAGTCTGCCCACGGCTGCATGTGAACCCCGAATCATAGGCCAGTGGCTTGTGCTAGCGGCCGGGTGGTGAGGCTGCAGCGGCGCCGAATGCCCCTCCCGCTGGCGATGGGGAGGAGTCTGCCCACGGCTGCATGTGAACCCCGAATCATAGGCCAGTGGCCCGTGCTGGTGGCCGGGTGGTGAAGCACAGAGCCTTACTGACCTTACGAGTGTGTTTTTAGACACGGACAGGGTCATGTGATGTAGCTGAACAAAAACACTGCATGTGAAGCATGACATTAAACTTTAACATACGGGCGCATGACTTTCTTTGGAGTAATACGTGTGCATCTACATAAGAGGGTCTTTAAAACATATTTTTGGTGACCCAGCCCTGTCTGAATAATTTGGAGTTCGCGTCAAGGATGCAAAACAATAAAAACTATAAACGCCAAAGGTTAAACTTTTCGTCATCCGCGCGGGACAGTCTTGACCATACGCTTGCTGGCAGAATGTTCGCCGCAGCAGGTATTATCTACAATGGGCCTGTCCCAAATTCTCGGGTCTGGTGGTCAGAGGACTGCTCCGCTGGCACGGAGCGAGGCCGTGCCCTCGGAGTGTGTTACCAGACAGAGGAGCCTGTTTAAAGGCAGGCCATGCGAGTGAAGTCATTCGACCACTCCCCAATTGCTGCCACCTAATAGGTAGGCATCGGTCGAGGGAAAGCTTACCAAGTCGGGCCTGCACTACGGGCCTCCCAACCGGCAAACCCATTAGCAAGCGTCATCGGGTTCAAGGCATGTCATATGCTATGCTCAAGCATATACTCAAATAATTCCCGGTAAAATTGTTAACAAAAGCCCTTCCTCTGTGCATGACTGGCAAAGCACCGTTGCAGTAAAAACAATGTAATGGAGCACATAAGGATGCCCAGATATTTTACCTACATAGGTGAAACAGCTTATTTTTGCCACGTTTCATGAAACATGAACCCAGACAAGGCATACTTTACGACCCTTGAAGACTTGTTGGCTGCGACCAAGCGCAGTTGTTCGGTTGCTCCAGTTCACAAGCGTGAAATTACGGCACAAAACATTGGCAACGTCACCGGCTGCCCAGCTGGGCAAGTTTGGCTTCAGCGATTCACTGTTGGTTGCCAGCTGATTGGCGCAGCGGCCGCATAGTGGGGTGTAGTTATTTTGCTGCATCGTGTGCCCCCACACTGAGGCGAGGCTTGTAGTCGCGTCTGACGAAAAGCTGCCTTCCCGCGCAGCTGGTGACCAGGCGACGCAACAAAACCCCGGTCAAATAGCGCTGTTAGCACATAACCGTAGGTGGCCAGGGCAACGGGTTTTGTACGATGCTGATTGGGATCGCAGCGTTTTGTTGTCACCGAAAAATGAGATCGGTGAAATGTTACTACAAGCTGTCTTAGACAGCATGATTTATTCGGGTTACAATGGCTAGATGCCGCTGTCGATTCGAGGACGAGGAAGCACACTGGCGGAACGATATGGACCATGGGAAACTGGCATGTGTGATGTATAACACTTGGACCACAGCTGGGGCACTCAGTCTGGTTAGCATTCCATTAACCGTCGACTGAATTATTCTTGCTGGGAATCAAGGTTACCACCGACTTTCATGTGGCCGTGATCACTTGGTATGTTCCTGAACTTGAACAGCTGTACGGATGTGCTCTCCCTGTGCTGGACGTGGATTGGCGCCTTGCCCTGACGTTATCATGGCTTGGAACGGAGCGCAGCTAACGGTGACATTCCGCCGAGAATCCAGCACAGCGGCGTCACGCACTAACAGACTGCGCCATTGTCAGCTTGGATTTGGCAAGGTACGGCAAGGTACAGCTGCGCCTGGTGTTTGGTCCTCGAAGCCATAGTCGCGCCGGGTGTTTGGTCCTCGAAGCCACAGTCGCGCCGGGTGTTTGGTCCTCGAAGCCACAGTCGCGCCGGGTGTTTGGTCCTCGCAAGACACAGTTGCGCCGAGTGTTTGGTTCTGATCACGTGTGCGAGCTAAACGGCACGCGAGCGCCGACTCACCTGGTCTGCGGACGCCATTACTGGGCCGGCCGTCTCCGTACGGGCTCTGCATTTCAGGTGGGTAGCCGGCTGCCGAGCTGCAAATACAGACACCGGTCAGACAGATGCACACGCAGACACCACTCAGACAGATGCAGCCACAGACACCGGCCAGACAGCTGCACACGAAGACACCGGTCAGACAGCCGCATATGCAGACAACGGTCAGACAGCTGCAGCCACAGACACCGGTCAGACAGCTGCACATGAAGACACCGGTCAGACAGCTGCATATGCAGACACCGATCAGACAGCTGCACACACAGACACTGGTCAGACAGCTGCACACGAAGACACCGGTCAGACAGCCGCATACGCAGACAACGGTCAGACAGCTGCAGCCACAGACACCGGTCAGACAGCTGCACATGAAGACACCGGTCAGACAGCTGCATATGCAGACACCGATCAGACAGCTGCACACACAGACACTGGTCAGACAGCTGCACATGCAGACACCGGTCAGACAACTCCACACACAGACACCGCTCAGACAGATTCAGCCACAGACACCGGTCAGACAGATGCATGTGCAGCCACAGGTCAGACAGCTGCAGCCACAGACACCGGTCAGACAGCTGCATATGCAGACACCGGTCAGACAGATGGACACGCAGACACCGCTCAGACAGATTCAGCCACAGACAACGGTCAGACAGATGGACACGCAGACACCGCTCAGACAGATTCAGCCACAGACAACGGTCAGACAGCTGCATGTGCAGACACCGGTCAGACAGATGCAGCCACAGACACCGGTCAGACAGATGCACAAACAAACGCCGCTCAGACAGCTGCAGCTACAGATACCGGTCAGACAGCTGCATATGCAGACACCGGCCAGACAGTTGCAGCCACAGACACCGGTCAGACAGCTGCAGCCACAGACACCGGTCAGACGCAACCGGCGCCAATGCTGATTCGGCCGTGCCTTAAGTTATCATGCGTCTTGTTTGGCGTGACTTTGGCGACTGCGATAATTAATGCAATAGAAATAGGGTACTAGGGTAATAGGGTAATGCAATAGGGTACTCATTGTGCCTGGTGACACTCTTATCACTATTGTACGTCATCACTTGGACTGATATCGTCACAGAGTTCACGAATACAGGCCAGTCCGTAAACCAACAGCGCCGTTTAATTGTAACAGTCGATTTCGATGTCGTGAATGGAGTGCATCCTTCACCTTGAGTCTATTGATGCATCTTCTTTCCAGTGATTGTACGAGCTAGCCTGTTCAGCTCTTCGCATGGCGTCGACCATCCAATCTGGAACAGCGGAGTGGTGTGATTCAGCGGAGTGCACATCGCACCCCGAGCGGCGCCCTGCAGAGCACGTGACCGAGTCATCCACACGTCCACCTCGCGCGGGCACGCTGAGCTTTTGTGGTTTCTGCAGTTATAAGATCAAGTGCACAACACCGCAGTTAGGACGGACTGGTGTCCTTGTTTGCCCTTCGCAGGCTGTGACGTAGGACTCATGGCGTCAGCGTTGGGATTACGTACAATGGCGATGCATTGCACCATGGATAACCGGCGACACGATTCGATTGTCCTTCAAACGAGGCGTCGCTCCAAGCCGACGCGTTTTCCCTATATTCCTGGGCTGCAGCGCGGTGGATGACTGAAGCCAGACCGCTCCCCCCACGGTGTCCCGGCCGGCCGGGAGAAGGGGAGGGGCTGCCAGGTCACGTGCGTCACGCGGCCCGCGCCGCCATGTTGCCCGTGCAGAGCGGCAGCGTGGGCGGCACCACGCCAGCGGTCTGCGTGAGCCTCCGTACGAGCGCCTGCGCCCAGCAGCGCTGCGCTCGTACCAGCGCACAGCGCGGCCAGCTGGCGGCGGCTCGCCCGGCTGCTGCGCAACTGTGACATGAGCCTGACAGGCCGCCAGTTCGTGCCAGCGACAGGTGCAGAGGCATCACATCCTCGTCACGACGCTGCCCGGCGGCTTTGTTGACGGCGGGGCAATTATCTCGCCTCGCGCAACTGAACTGGAACGAAACCACCGGCGGCCCGTTGCCGCGCTCTTACATGTTGGCGCAAGGCTGCACAGCTGGCCTCTTTGACCGCATTCCATCGTCGCATCGCTCTGTCTTACCGTGCTCTGCCCCAGAACCCTTCAACGAGCAGCAATGAACTCGACATCTTCGGGCTCGCCTAGCACTGTTGCGGCCCCAGTAGTGCTGGGGCTGTAGAACCCCAGGCCAGGTGGGCTCTGGCCTCCTGCCCTCTGCGCCCTTGCAGGGTGGGGACTGGGAATGGGGAGGGGGGGGGGGGGCAGCCGCAGTCAGGCGGCGCGGCCAGCTGATACGATGGGCCCTGATAGGAAGGCCAGCGCCGACAGCCGATACCGGCGGCGGCTGCGGCGGCGCCGGCGACGGGACGCGCCGCCGGCGCCGGCCTGACCGGGGCGGAGCGAGCCGCCGCTGCACAATACCCATTGTCTCCAGCGCCGATCGGTCCGGCCCGCCCGGATACGGCTCTGCACGCGTTGGAGGCGCCGCTGCCGCCGCCGCCGCCGTCCAGGCCGTGCTCGCCTCTTGGTCACCTCGTGCAGTCTCTCGCGCGGCAAGGGGACACAGCGCAGCGACAGCGGCGCAGCCGCCAGTGGAGCGCAAAAGGCACCAACCACATGCGGGCAGCAGCAGCGCAGGTTACTGGGCTCAGTTAAAACAGGCAGGCTACACTACACTTTCTTGGTTGTGACATTGGGCGCGTACCCCCCCATCCTTGTGCTCTCACGGACAGCTGCATGCTGCGTCTATGAACGCTTGAAGGTTGGGTAGACTACAGGCGAAGGAGCGCCAAAAAATGTGTATAAAGGGGGGGCAATGTCAAGTCATACTTAAGGGGCTATACCTGGGAGGTAGGCCCGGCGAACGAAAAGGGTGGGGATGAACGGCTTTGTATGCCCTTAGTTCATACTGGTTTATTTTGGAGGCATATAAATGCCCTGGTTGCTGTGCTAGAATATCTACAACTGTTTTCTTTCGGTGCATAATCTTACCTACTCGATTCATCTATACCATTCGGTGAAGAAAACTACCCAGATTCCTAAACTATTCTTCTGTTTCAACATTACTTCCCCTATGACGTAAGGGGTCATGAAAAACAAACTGTTCTGTACGTCCGTTTTCGTGCAGCAACATGGGGTGAACCGCTTGCAACCCTGACGGAAATCGATCCGTGACCGCTCGTCCCTTCTCCGCCCTCTTCATAGGCGTTTAGGTGCAGGGAGGTGCCGTTGCAAATGCCTGAGGAGTTTCATTTTATCTGTTTTGATTGCAATCGTAAGCCCATGGGGATAGTATTTATACGAACCTGGGATGAACGCTGCGACAGCGCTTACCGATTTCGCGCCACATAGTCAAGTGGTTAAGGTGATGAAGCCCGCCAAAGAAGTGCAAACAACAAATAGTCGCAAACATCGTGTTTCCGTCCGGATGGTTCACTTGGTTCGAGTGCCTACCTCCCGATCCAGGCACAGGGTCACCGGGTTCGAGTCGCTTTAGGTGCTCACTGTTTGCCCTCGACAGATATGGCCTGCGGCCGGTGGCAGCGACCGCGCTAAAGGTCAGATGACGTCAGAGGGCAGGTCGGACGGTGCCGAGCATTGCGGCACCTGAAACTTTCGCCACCAGCTTCTGCCGTTAACCTGGAGTTGAGCGACCTATGGCAGGGTTCAAGACTCACATAACAAGCAATGATTGCAGTGAGCTATGATCTCAGAAGTCCATCCGTTGAAAACGTTCGGATTGAAGCTTTAAAAATACATTTTCATGTAATAAGCCCACGATTTGCTTGCTGAGACTCTGTAGTGACTCCAGGCCACATCAGTCAAGCCATTGGAAGCGCCGTTCTGTCGTAACAGTGGGCTTCGCTGAAAAATGCGTTTCCTGCCTGGGTGCATATCGCACCCATCATACACTGTTTTTAACTCGATGTGTGGTTTCTCAATTTTCCCTCAAATTTTTCAAACAAAACATTGCTTAAAGCAATAGTTTCGATCACTGCATTCGATCGCCACCGTGTCTCAACGTTTTTGCAGCAATGAATGAATGAACTTTGGCTGAATAACAAAACTGCTGAACAGAAAACTGCTTAGCATTTATGTAAACACCAGTGCCGGTGAGCCTGGTAATAAAATAACCGTCATCGGGCACGCTCGGGAGTGCTTGGGCGCAGGCAGGGTACAGCCAATCCACGCACAACGTCCCGTTTACGAAATGTTTCCACGATCAGTCCACTGGTGTGGGAGCCCACCCAACTATCAAGGGCCCGTAAAGCAGGTTTCCCTATGCTTTCAGTTCCCTCTAGAACACCAAAGACCGGTTGGCTTCCATGTAGGTCGCCATGGTGCGGGGAGCAGCCAACCGACGAGCGGAGGCTGCCGTTCATCTCTGCTCGCCGGACTTGTCATCTTGCACGGGTGACCGGCAGACACCCTTGCCGGGCCTATGGTGCGACAGGCGACGCTGGTGAACTGGACACCGATATACGGAACGTTGCGCCCCCGACCCCGGAGGTCGCCGAACTGATGGAGGCTCGATAACCATCTAACTGCATTTGGACAGTCGCTCTGCATCCGCGTGTGTACAGCCGCTCTGCACCCGCGTGTGGACAGCCGCTCTGCATCCGCGTGTGTACAGCCGCTTTGCATCCGCGTGTGGACAGCCGCTCTGCATCCGCGTGTGGACAGCCGCTCTGCATCTGTGTGTGTACAGCCGCTCTGCATCCGCGTGTGTACAGCCGGTCTGCATCCGTGTGTGGACGGCCGGTCCCACTATCGCAGAAAGTGGGCTGTTGCGTTGTGACACCGGTCGCCTTTCACGAGTATGAAAAGGGTCCTCAGTAGGTAACAGGGTCTGAGCGGCTGAAGAGGCCCTGAGCGACCCGTGAAATTCTGGACGCCCAGAGGAACACCCCAATGTCAGATGGCTGTTCAGTGGCCAGAGCGACCTAACAGGAGCCAGGCGTCTTGCGAACAGCTAAGAAACCTCTGACCGGCTAGAGGGGCACCGGGCGGTCAGAGAAGCACGTCAGTGATTGAGGGCTCCTCGGCACTCATGGTGTCTCCTCAGTGGCTAGATAGGCCTCTAGGCGGTCAGAAGGGCACTGGACACACAGAGAGCCTTGCACGTTTATATTCTGAACGGGAAATGTGGACCCACGGGCAGTTAGAAGCACTCTTGGAAGTGGGAGGGACCTCCGAGCGACCAAAAGGTCCATGAGCAGCCAACAAGATCTTCGGGAGTTCAGATGGCCGTGTGGGTACCGCTTAATGTCCTTGACGACCAAACAAACTCACTAAGTGGCCTGCAGGTCCAATGACCTGACGAGCACCTGGGTGGCCAGAAATGCCTCCGACGTCTCGAGCAAAAACAGGAGCCCGTTCGTCACGGAGTGCCCTGCGGCAAGTGAAGCTTCTGAGTAGTCAGAGGCAATCGTCACCGATAATAGGCTGTTCTATGGCCAGAGCGGTCCAAAAGTGACAGAAGGATCACGACCAGCTAACTGAAGCTAAAAGCAGCCTGAGGGGCACTGGCCGGTTAATACGAGCCCTGCGACCCCTTCGCGACTACAGAGGTCCTGAGTAGGTCGAAGGCCCTGTTAACAAGACCTGGTCGTGTCTAAAAGGAACCTTGAGCAGTCAGAGAGTCCTATATGGATTTCAGGGTTCTGAAGCGAGGGATGCCTCTGGCGACCAGGAAGGGCATGCTGTATGTCTAGAGGGTCCCCAGGAAAGTCAGATAGGACGTGCCGATCATCCACAAATGATGTTGTCTGAAATGTAGGAACTACCTGGGCTACTATTTTCATAAAACTCCTAACATTTTAGGTCTGGCGGGGATCGGGGACACAAAAGCAATCCCCAAACGGGTTTTCGAGTCACGATTGCGCGGATCCGCTAGGACTGCGATATGACAAAGCGGAGGCAGCACAGCAGGGGCGCTGTCTAGAAGGGGGGGGGGGCGCCCCCACAGGCCCTTAAATTTGGCCATAGATGTCTCCCGACAGGAAGCAAAATGTCGGCGTGATGCCTACACATCAAGCTCCTCTTAGGAAAATATGGTTGTGCCCTTGCAGCCGTCATAATCATGGTCATACGTAATATGTCACAAGTTTACTTTTAAACGCGTCTGCATGCAAAGTGCAAAGTAGTTTCTTTATTCTTCATTCGTCGCAGTATTTCGCAAGATATCTCGATGTATCACCTATGTATAACGCCTTTCTTGAAACGCTCAATGTCCTTCTAACGCTTTATAAAA